TAAACCATTTTGTAGAGCTTATAAAAAAGAAATAATTTAGTAGCCTATATTGAAGCACTGTTGTATGCCTAACGGTCGCGGAGAAAATTCAAAAAAAGTAATTTTAAATTTCCATGTTATTCTTTTGCAGAAAATTAAAACTGTTGTAGTTTACTTGTTTATGGATATATGTTGATAATATTTGGCAAATTTATTTATTTCATCCTATACTATTGACGTATCGTCAAAAACACGTTTTACCTTCCCCGTAGCAGCAAACCTAAGCACTCGGTGGTTGTAGACCATTTCCTAACACAAGGTGGCTATTTGTCGGATATCATCATTAAATCTTTACCTTGGGAACGACCATCAGATTGCCACCTTGATCAAGATTCACGATTCACCCTTTGCAAGGTGGTTTTTAGGTAAAGATGTCACTTCTACACCGCCTTATTTATATTGGAGACCGATTGTCGGAGTGACTTTTTGACGTTTTCCTGGCAAAAATCCGACTCACGGTTCCCGTTCCCACCATGCAACAGTTGTGGGATAGTCAATAAAGACAAGGCAATCAGAAGAAATTGTTTTTAACGATTGTTTGGAGTGGGGGCGTTATTTTTAGCTAAAAATTCCCAACAAAATTCTGGGCAAAAGGAAAAACACACTCAACTCCAACTTAATGAAATTTGTAGACGAGTTATTTCAACTCCTGAAGCCTCTCCAGTACCTCTTGACTGGTGCGGTCCGATTGTTTAAGTTTGGGAATGAAACTAAAACACGATGATAATAGAGCATGAAATTTGGTGGGTTAGAATCACAGACAAAAATAGACTATTGGTCTATTAGTATGTGGTCAGAATGTTACTGTATGGACATGTGTCTGCGCGTATTTTTCTTCACATCGTCGGTTGGCTTATCGGGTTTAGACACTTTCCAAAACACAGCCAACCAGTGATGGCCTTGAGCATTTAAAGGCAATGACCGAAAGACAAACCCGCACAACACATAACAGATCTGACACAATTACGAACAAGGCACACGTGTATCGTGTGATCGAACTCTCTCACACACACACAGTAAATGCACGGGCGTAATGTATGTAAATTAATACAGTAACAGGATGTTCGTATTATCCATCTTCCCTTATTGTGTTTTGAGTTCATCAATTGTACTGCAGAAGAAGTTCTTGAAGATTCAATAATGGGTAATACGGTTAACTGATAAGCATCGAAGTAAAATTAAGAATGGTAAACATTTTATATTTATGTCGGGTAAATTTGCTAAACTACGCATACATAGCAGTTTCAAACAACGATACAGTTGGTGTTTTCATGTTGATGCTGTGAGAATAATCTATTTGTTTTTGTTGTCTACACATGAAAGTAGATCTCTTCCCCCAACTAAGGGATCAAATTTCTTTACCGAGTGACCTCAATTTCACCACTAGGATATATCTTACTCTACCACCGTAGTTTATAATAGCATGTAATGGTTACTTGCATGTATGAATATGAAAGTCAACTACTCTGAGAAAGTGGTAGAAATCTAACGTGTTTGGGCAGGTTCAATAAATCAAAACTGATAGCTTAAAACCCGCTTAGTGGTTTTATGGCTTGTTAGAAATAATGTTAATACAAATGTGTTTTTTTAGTCAAATAAATAATTAGAAATATTCTAGTTATACAAAGATGGTACCGGTAATGAAAATCGAAATTGTAACAGTTTGACTGGATCGAGCTAATATAATTTAAGTTGTAAGTGGAGGAAATGTGTAAACTAACCGTCAAAACAAATTACGTACGGTATATAACAATTTAAAATCGAATTGCATAAATAATTTAATGTGGAAGGGATTTTTTTGTTATCTTAGGACAATAGAATGTGTTTGAAAAACGGTCTATATCCATGCTTGGACTTTTGCTTCGAGATTTTGTGTGATAACAGAAAGAAACGTTTTCGTTGAAAATGAATTAATTAAAAACACTCTGGCTATCTAATTTTCCTAAGCCAAGCAAGATGCTTGCAGCTGCCATTTACCATTGTTGTTACGTATTGAGAGAGTGATACTGTAAAAGTTATACACCCAGGTTTGCTGCAGTACATTGTTGTACCATTGTTGTTACGTATTGAGAGAGTGATACTGTAAAAGTTATACACCCAGGTTTGCTGCAGTACATTGTTGTACCATTGTTGTTACGTATTTAGAGGGTGATACTGTAAAAGTTATACACCCAGGTTTGCTGCAGTACATTGTTGTACCATTGTTGTTGTAGCCACTGTTGCTAAACGTGGGTTAGTTCACGAGTTCTTTGACCAGTCGAGGCCATGAGAGCTGATGTCCTTGGGTATAAACAACAATGCATTTCGAAAACGTTTTGTTGTCTGTCCCTGTTCTTTTGCTGAGTAATCTCCAATCTGCCGATAATTATAAACATAAATTATCTATAATTGCAATTAGTAGTAGTGAATTACAATTCCTGCTTTTCTTAAACACTTGCAATACCTCATCATTTTGATTTTTAAAGTAGTAGTTCAGTTTTTAGGATGCATTATCTATACGTTTAAGGTATAGCCGATTATTGCAAATTTTGTTAATCTAAACTATTAGTTTTATTGTACGGTATAGCTTTTAATAACAGTTTTAAGTATGTCAATCTCATTTCGAAAAATATGAACGTTTTCTCCAAATAATTTAGAGAATTTATATCGAAAGATCCCTACTATGGTTGATTGTATTATTGTAAAAAGTTTAGGCACATTAGTTATTACTATGTAAAATTTAACCAATAATTACAAACTAATTAAACCATGGAATCTCGATTATCTTGCATAACAACATAGTTGTATTATAATAAAATCATAATTATTATAGTAAAGTATTTGAATTCTTTTGTTCTGTTGTATTGCGGACAGAAACAATTTAGTAACCATACGTAAATAACGTAAATGCATGTGGTTGTAAGTATAAGTATATCCTATAATTGTTTAACTATATTATTCAGTCTCAATGATAACGAAGCATTTTAAGGGCAACAGTCTCTTTCGACCAAAAGGACTCAAGAACTAAACCACGGTTATGAATCACTGTTGACTTAGTTGAAACAACGAGATGACGATTAATTTGAGTTCAGTTACTCAAAAATGAAATTTTAAGCTGGTCGAGAAGTTTGGTTTGGTTAGGTTAGAACAGTGTCATCTAACCTAACTAACCAAACTTCTTCGACAACTTAAAATTTGCAGTACAGTACTTTGTTATATTCTACTATTTTGTGTATTTTCTCCACATTTATATAGCGTGTGATCAAAAACCTTTTCTAAATATTGTATTTTTCATTATTTAACCTATAAAAGGTTTCAATAAGTTATAGAAGTATAATTGGAAAAAATAGAGTTGTGGGCACGTAACGAATTTTGATCGATGAGATATTCGTATTGGAATTAGGGCCAATCGTTTCATAGATTAATTTGGCAACATTTCATTCAAACTATCTTTTTAAAACTACATGCACCACCGAAGTAGTATGCCTTAAATATTATTTTGGAATAAAGACCTCAAAAGACAATGCGACATAGTTTCCAAAATGATTTAGCGATCCTCATAGAAAATATTAATGTGAACGGAATATTTTTACTGCGCAATAATCACGTAAAAAGCATGTTTTCGAATTTAGCAAATTACCGGTAGGAAATTATAGGAAATTACGCGTACGCGTAGGAATTATAAGTAGGAAGTACGACGCAATATAAACTACTGATAACAAAGATATACTATTAATGATAAACTAACAGTACTTTCCCTATCAAGAACTAGGGTTAAAGTCCGTCTGGTTTCAATCTAAACAACCAGGACATGTCATCAGACACGTTTGTAACTATCTTATCTATCAATTCTCACACTCGAAAACCTAGTGCTCCAAATATTTATACAACTTAGTTTGGAGTAAAAATATTAGAAACAAAACAGTATTTTGTAAAACGATTTAATAAAAAATATAATAGGTAATTACAATCTACCATGATTATATTTATATTTTCATATTTACTATACCTACGTAGTTATTCTCCCTGAATACTCCCTGGGTGATATTAGGGAGGCTAGTTCAAAGAAAGAAATGATTTAATGGACCAATACAACTTTTTATCCATTAATACGTGGAAGCAATGAATGAAACCAGTATCATAGTATTGTAGTACTAAATCATTATCTTACAAAAATAATTACATTTTAATAATTGGGGAAAATACTGTAGGCCCTATCTAAATTTCATGAACTAATTAAAATGCTTTCTCCAGTATAATAAAATAAATATCCAATAATTAAAATAAAAATAAAAACCGTCACAATAAAAGTTACTGATATGTCCCAAAACGCATCGCTAATCACAATGAAACTACGCATAGGCCTAATGAGTTATTTGTGCAATAATTGAGCATTTGTCTAGGGAAAGATAAATGTGTTACAGTATGTATTATAATTAAGTAGTAGGGTATTTCAAAAATTTTATTTTTAATTTGAAGAATCTGCTAGGATGAATTGTAATTGTACACATTCATTAATTTGAGGTGAAAACTATAAACAAGTATTTAAAGTAAATACAAGCTGGAACAAGGTTATTTAAATTGAAATGCGCTACTTAAATTGACCGTGAATAATTTTTTCAACTCAATTATTAAAATTTTATTCTTTGAGTCCCAAAGGACTTAATTCAATGGTAATATAGCAAGGCAACATGACATGATGATAAATAACAAGTATTTAAATACACAATCAGGTAGGCTAGTTTGTAGTTTTAAAAATTAAGAACTGTCATTTAAAAATGAAAATTAGGGTTAAGCAAACATTTTTACTTTATAAAGATGGAAGGATTGCAAAAGTGATGTGTGGATCCGAAACAATAACCATAAAGCAAAAGAGCGTAATCTTTTGTAGACATAAAAATCTACAAACACAAAAACCAGAAACTTATAAAAATTCAACAAAATTTGCTTCATGATTGTTTACGAAACTAAACAAGTTTTACCTGGTCCAAACAGGTGACCCCGGCCGGTTGTAAAGTCTTTTGCAGGTTTCTCGAAGCCGCTCGGGCCCCTAGGCGAAAAAACAATAAAGCCATTGCTTAAACACTAACACAATTCGATAGTAGTGAGTCAAAATAAATTCAACACGACAAAACAATAGTAAACCATGTAAGAATGATTCGCTAACACAACTGGTTTCTCACTCGGTGGCCTACGGTCAGTCTCGTTTCGCTTGACTACTTTAAATCCGACTGGAGTTCGGGAGATCCGAGCCGAGTTCCTTCCTAAACGCAACTGGAACTTTTGAACTTCGAACGGCTCTCCCATTGGCTGGGACTCCACCTGGAGCGCATGCGCATACGTCCGTCTGCCGCGCCGTAGGCACCCTATTACTACACTTTGCTGATAAAGTTGGCGTTATTACAGTTATCACAATGCAAAAATGGATAAAGGGGACGATTCCCCGAAAAAGCCAAAACAGAGATTATGAGAATGTTTTAACCCAATGCTCGTTGAAAAGTGTGAAGTGTGACATTTAAGTAAGTAGAACAATCCTTACTTGTAACTCAGTAATCATCAGATACCTACAATAACGTCAATCCATACAAGGTTATTCTTTGAACAAGAACAACATTTTTTCAAGCGAAGAAGTCTCAATGCAATATGGCAATGTTCATTTTCAATTGAATATGGTCATACAACTTAAAACAATAATGAGTCAAAATTTAGGTATTAAGTCTTGGAATAAATTTAATCTATGAAACTGACCAGATCTTTTTTGTGTAATCATTTAACATATACTGTAAACTGAAACTCTTGAGAATATCCAGCGCAACGGACCACAATGTTATATATTGCAGTGAATAAAAAATAAAACAAAATCCTGGTAAAGTCGAATGAGCTTATAATGGACTGGAAAACCATGAAAACGTTGAAACAAAGATCAGAATAGATGTTAGACTTAAAAAAATACAAAATGAAAATTCCAACATAGAAACACAGCAACTAAATGCATAGGGTTTTTAAACAACCGTACTAAAAAGAGGAAAATAAATTTATCTAGAAATAGGCGATTAATATTAACCAACGGGACTGTTCAATTATGGAATGTGTTTTTACAACACCCTGCACATCGGAGAATGAATGTTTGTGAATTTGGTGATATGGCTGATAGTAGTACGTCACGAGTTACACAGCTGATGGTTTCAATAATTGACATGACTTGACCATACCAATGCCCCAACTTAATTTATCATGTTATAAATTGAGGGCAAATTAGTATCTACGTTCACGAGATATGAAAGTGTAATGTGTCTGGAATAAAGTAAATAAGTTATATTCCATAAGGTATAAAGCCTATACTACAAACTATCATAAAAAACGTACCTTTCTTGGCAGCGAGGTCTACCAAACTATGTACTATTGTATTGTATTGTATTGTATTGTATTGCAGTTACGGCAATACTGTAGATCTAAAGTACCTACCGTACTAAGTACGGTAGCAAATTGTCTAAACAAATTTATTTGGGGATTTTCCAGGCACTATTTACTAACGCAGAGCTTATTAGCAATGATCTGCAGTAGAAATAAACATATAAGAAATCTGGCACATATACTTTCTCCCATTAGCTTGTCAACAAAACTTGTCATGTTTTTGCTATGGGAGATACTATGCTATTTTTATGGGAATAATCACAAAAGTTGCAATAACTTTTGAACCGCAACTTTTACAGCAATGAGGGCTATACCATTTTGTTAAAATTATAATATACTAACTTTTAGTCAAAACCGCTTGGGCTTGTTTTTTAAATCCGATTTTCCGTTACAGTATTTTATGGGTTTTTATGGGAAAACCACAATTAAAATTTTCATACCAATGGGAAAAAATGCCTGCGATAATAAAAATCGGAAAAGTTAACTGATGGCCTTCAAAATGAGGCGTCACTTGATGGGGCTTTATACAGTGTGTAAATTAAGTGTTGAAACAAATCTGTTTTTTTTTTTAACCAAAATAGATAGAAATATTCTGTTTGTGGCAATAATTAATAACAAAGGTTCCGCAATTTTTTACATCAAAAATATTTTTTAACCCCCCTAACAGGGTAGGGAGTAGGGGGTGACTTATTTTTTTCAAATATCAACCCCTATTGAGTGACCCCTCATTTTGAAGGGTTTGTCAAAAGAAACACAATAACTCAAATCCGAGGTGAATATCTCACCCCTAACCAAAATGGCGTATATTCCAAAATGGGTGCTTTTTTACAAAAATTAAATTTTGGAATACCCGCCATTTAAGCTAGGGGTTAAATATCTACCTCGGGTTTGCGTTATTGTTTTTCTTTTAACAAACCCTTCAAAATGAGGGGTCACTCAATAGGAGTTGTTATTGAAAAAAATAAGTCACCCCCACCCCCTACCCTGTTAAAGGTGTTGAAAAAATAATGTTCATGTGAAAAATTGCGGAACCTATGTTAACAATCAATTCCACAAACAGAATATTTCTATCTATTTCGGTTTTAAAAGTACATATTTCTTTCCATTGTGAAATTGGTGCTTTTTCACATACAGTAAATCAAATTTTGGAATGCCTGCCATTTTGGCTAGGGGAGAGATATCCACCTTGGGTTTGCTTCATTGTGTTTACTTTAACAAATTCTTCAAAATTATGGGTCACTCAATAGGGGTTGCTATTAAAAAGAAAATTGTCACCCCCTACCCACTACCCTGTTAGGGGGGTTAAAAAATATTGATGTAAAAAATTGTGGAACCTTTGATAATAGTTATTGCCACAAACAGAATATTTCTATCTATTTCGGTTTTAAAAATACAGATTTGTTTCAATACTTAATTTACACACTGTAGGTATTTAAAAGTTTTGAGCTGCCCCCGAAGTACCCTATTATGGTGGTCCGGGCAAAATTGTCATACAGACCGAAATAGATGAAATATATTTCATCACTCTAAAGTGAGTCTTTTTTAACACTTTTTGCCCGTGTGATGAACTATATCTTTCGTCTTTGCACCATTATTTAAACAATATTACAAAACTGACAACAGTTTTCATTTAAAGATAGCCTCTAAAAACTACTTCTAACTTGTTTTCAATTTAATTTGCTAATGGAAACAAGCAGCTGTTACGTAGACCTAAGTGATTCAATCGTTTCGGCTATTACGATTGTTTAGTGTACATACTATTACTAGCGATATGTCGAGCTATTTACAATAAGGGAACTAGGGAAAAATTTTCTACAATCGATTAAACAATCGATACATTTACTTTCAATACACACAATTGTTTAGAATCGATATTTACAACAGTGTTGACAACAGCTGATTTTTACTCCCTAGGGGCTAAAACGCCTTTTACTCCCTAGAGAGTAAAAATGCTACTTTATACCCCGCAATGCATGCATTAAAAATGCCGCGGCTGTTTTTGCTTCAGTATGATGAAAAAGTAGTATTCAGTTTCTTGTTACGGTTATACTGAGTTTAGTATTCCTGGTACATACCAACTCTGTTTACCGTATATATGCAATATTAGTGAATTTCCCATATAGGGATTAAGTTGTTACCGTAGGTATTGTGGTAAGACAAGGATCCGGGACCAATTTTGCAATTTATTTCCAAACCATTTTGTAGAGCTCAAAAACAAATAGTTAAGTATATTGAAGCATTGTTATTATGCCTGACGGTTATGGTGTAAATAAAAAAATACTGCAAATTTAAAATTCCCATGTTATTATTATGTAGGTAAATAAACTGTTGTAGTTTTGCTTGTTTATAAACAAATTGGGGATGCAGAATACTATCCCCCGGAAAACCACTCCCCCCTCTTGGTTTGGTTGGTTAGGTTAGTTTAGAACAGTATGAAAAAGAAACTTGAGTGTCCGTGACTGGAAAACTACCCTCTACCCCCCCCCCCCCTCCCCGATCTCTGACGTCGAGGAACCTGTTTGGGGGGGTAGTTGTCGGGGGGGGGGGGGGGGGGCAGTCTTCCGGCAACCCAACAAATTTTGATTAAATTTGGAAAATTTATTTATCTTTTACTTTACAATATGAACATTTAACTATAAATATTTAACCTTATTACCGTCACTGTATCAGCAAACCTAAATAATCGTTAAACAGTTTTTTTAAATAGGGAATAAAAATATGACATTTTTAAGGATATATTATTTTGGTGAGAATCAAATCAGGTAAATGGAAATTCTTGTAGTCTGCAGGTTTGCTGCGGCGAGGGTATATATAACTTTACACTTATACTAAAAGACAGTAATACCCAAAAATAAATAATACCCAATACTTATACATACAATAATACTTACAAGATGGTAAATATATAAAAAAAAGTTTAAGTGGTGATCGAATTCCTAATTAAACATTAAACAGTAGTATTTTATGATGAGCCCAGAGTAACATCTAAACTCCGGGAAATTATTCTATTGATTAAAATAAAAAAGGGAAAAAATCAAGAATTAATTTCTTAACACGATTTGTTATATCCTCCATTTTGTATTTGTTAATGAACATATTTATCTTTGAATAAAAAAACCGTAGAAAAGACCTGCGTTAGAGAAACTATGAACTTAAACTCATTTGAAATTTTGTAATGGCGGCCATTTTAATTTTTATAACATAAATTTCTAAAAATGGCCGATTTATCTAAAAATGGAATTTATTACGTATATGAGGTATATCATATATTTATAGTGTGTGTTTCCGTTTATATACGTACATTTCTTTCAAGAAAAACATTTATGTTCATAAACAGTAATGAAACAAATGGAATTATGTAAAACTAAGTAAATTGTTTATGTATTCTATACAATGCTTTTAATTATAGAAAATATATAAAACTCAATAACTATAGTTAACAAATAACAATAGATGTTGTTGCAGGTAGGAGCTTTTTACTTTCTCCCCCTATACCATAGTATATGGAGAAAGTATTGTTTTCGTCAAAATTTTCGAGTTTGAGTTTTGAGTGGATATATTCGTTTTGGGTCCCCCTGGACCCAAAAAAGTGGTTTTCGAAGTGATGTCTGTGTGTGTGTGTGTGTGTGTGTGTGTGTGTGTGTGTGTGTGTGTGTGTGCGTGTGTGTGTCTGTGTGTCTGGATGTGTACAGAGCTAGGGACTACAAATGTGGTCCGATTTCGATGAAATTTTGTATGTAGGTTTTAATCCCTGGTATCTCCAGGCGTTTTTTTCATTTTTTTGAAATTTTGATTTTTAATGGGGATTTTCCCATAAAAACCCATAAAAAACCGGAAAAATCGGATTTTCTCAAAAATGGCCGAACGATTTTGATAAAAATTTAGTATGTTGTAGCCCTTTAAATTCTGAACAAAATGGTACAAATCCCATTTCTGTAAAAATTACGGTTCAAAAAGTTATGGTAAATTATGTTATTTTCCCATAAAAACCCTTTGAAAATAACAAAAAATTGGATTTATGACAAAAATCCGCTTTTGATTTAACATAGTATGTAATGGTCCTTACAATTTTGATAGTTTTTTTTCATTTTATAGAAATTGTTATTTTTAATGGGGATTTTCCCATAAAACCCCATAAAATAACTGAAAAATAGGATTTTCCCAAAAATGGCCCGAACGATTTTGATAAAAATTTAGTATGTTATAGTCCTTTATATTTTGAACAAAATGGTACAAATCCCATTTCTGTAAAAATTACGGTTCAAAAGTTATTGTAAATTATGTTATTTTCCCATAAAAACCCCATAAAATAACGGAAAAATCGGATTTTCCCAAATCGGCTCGAAAAATTTTGTTTAAAATTTAGTATTTTAAAGTCCGTTAAATTCTGAACAAAATTATACAAATCCCATTTCCGTTTATTTACTCTCACCGCTTACACATGATAAAGGTTGTTGACAAACTTATGGGAGAAAGTATGTGTCAGAATGCTGATACCGTTTATTTTATATTACCTGCCTTTTACATCTTGCGAAGCAAACCGATCATAATTAGATTAACAGATGATCTGTCTGGAATTTTGAAAAACATTATTTTCCTTCTCTTAACGCGATAATCATTGTAGGAAAGAATACACCCTTTTTAGCAAGTAGCATCTTGTTTAAACTCTTTGAAGACTTCCTTACGATATCCAGGCTGTTATCCTCCGAGCGACCATGTTCCACGGCAGGTGCAAGTTCAGCCCGCATCTAGGAGTCAGTCACCCCTGGAGCACAGAATATAACCGGGAGCTGCCCCCTTGGCAATCAGTTGAATCCAGGCTTTCCTCCAGGTAAGCTTAGCCCTTCAGAGTCTGTTTCTCAGTGGTTTAGTTATTTTTTATCTATTTTTAAGAGGTTTGTGGCTTCTTCTAAAGTTATAGAAACTTTTTATGCTGCTCTGACACATGGTCAAATAGTTATTGTTGTACTGTAACTGCAAAGAGATTATTATTATTCCATCACACATTTTTATTAATTACATCATATGACAGTTTAACTAGGGTCTTTTTAATTTTCAATAGTTGAGGAGTGAAACAAATAATCAAAGCTCATCCTGTAACTAATAAATTAAATAAATAATTAATATGATAAAATTGTTGATTAATTTGATGATTAAATAAATATGAATATGGTATATAATTAAAAAGTTTTAAAATAACATTCATATACATTCACTATTTAATTTTTAAACAAAAAATGTATTTAATCTAAGTTAATGTATTAAACATAAAATAATATCAAAAGTGTAGGTATTTTAATTATTCTGTTGTTGCAAATATGCATTTTGTATGATATAGTTTCATATCATAAGAAAACTTAAACATTAATTTTGATGAAAGTGGATTCAAATCTGTATTTTATATTCATGAAGTATAAACTTTCCCTCTCCAAATGTGTTATGTTATTTATTTCATAAACCACCATCATTTATAAAACAAACTAAACTTTTAATTAATAACTTGTCATTTTAAATGTGTTTTTGAAAAAAGCCACTTCATGTCTTGTAAAATTTGAAACCCCCAAAAATAATATGTGCCTTGATAACAAGGAATATTTTCCTAGTAAATTGCTAAAATTTCTTTGTTTAAAGTTCATTTTTTATTATGGTACTATGATGCTTATTTTATAACTGTTTAGATCTGAGTGTCTGCCCTGATTTGATAAGTAGGAGATTTAGAAGTTCAGCATACATAGGGGGTACAATTTCTTTTAGGGACAAAAGTTACTCATTTTCAGACCGAGTTATAGGATTTTCATGCCACTATCAAAGACAGTTTTATTGATCCTTTTGAATACAGATAGATACAAAATATGTTGGGATGTCAAAGGATTGAATAAAAGGGGGTTCCGCCCTGAAAAAGCTTTTTGGTACTTCCCAATACAAACTGTGTACTTTGTTTCCATTAAATACAATTTAATACAGTTCAAATTAAGAGGTGGTAAAGTGACGAGATTTGTATTCAAACGTAAAACAAATTACTTACTGTATTTTTTGTAACTTATTTGGGATGAAAACAGCTTTTAACATTTTTCTCGTGAGTAGATCTATTTCCAATATTCTATTGTTTTTTACCAAATAAAATGATTGAAAATAAAAATATATTACTGTACAATCAATTTTGTAATCATTTATTATTTCAAAATGAACCAAGAAAGTATTCCACCACATTTGTTTATTCCTTTTTTTATTAGCAAAAATGGATATAAAACTGTAAAGAACAATGTTTTTTAACAATGGGTTCTTGGTTTAATCTTGTCTATCAATTCCCAGCTGTATAAAGTATCTACTTCAGTTTCACAGCTTCTAAGTTCTCTTTCATAATTATAGAGTAATTTTACTGAGCAGTCAGCCTATTCTAAATGCTACCAACCTGATATTTTGATCATCAGTTTGAGATATTGTACATTCTTTCCACCACCACCACTTTTTCTTAAGAGATTAGTCTCTTGCAACAAGGAATAATTTTAAATGACTTCTTATTAACATAATGTGTGCCATTAATTTCACGGAAAGTATATAAATAGGTCTAATAACACTTGAAGCATATATTTATACTTATACTGGTTTAATAAAATGGTAAATATACATAAAAATGGTAGATGGATTCACCTATTGGGTCTGAAGATGATCGGAGTATCCAATAAAAATCTATCGCCACTACCATCTAATATGTATATTTACCGTCTTATTAAAACGGTATAATAAGTGTATATGTGTCAAATGTTTTTAGATGTACTTTTATTTACTTTCTGAGAGCATATTATGAGTAACAGAAAGCTTTCAAATCTTAAGTGGAGTTTAAAAAAGGGAAAAAGGTTTTCTTTTCTCCTCAAACATATAATATGTTGTATATTTTAGCAAACATAGATTGAAAATTGTCTTATAATAAATTAATTGCCAAGTAATCGCCGTTACCTTGTAGTAGCTCATTTAACTATGTTAATTTATTATATAATTTGAATTAACTTTTCTGTTGACTTGAACTGCCTGATATAACTATATAAACAAAAGAAAACACGAAATAAAGACTTTGTTTATTTTAATGTTAAAAATTAAATTGTAACTACTTATTTGTTTGAAATCTTTGAATAAAATGCATGTTTATGTTAGTATTTATTGTTGAAAATTAATACGTTAATTTTAACATAAAATTAATCATCATTCCGTTTTCAGTGAACAAATAATGAGTTAGAAGTTAATAAAACTTGGTTAAACGAAAATAGATATGGGGTGTAACACTTGTATATTGTTGACAGAAAATTAAAAAACGCTGAGGTCCATGGCTTACCACACCCTATTGATAGGTAAGTTGATAAATTCAGTACTTCTATAGTTTTATAACATTTAATTCACATACAGAATTATGTGATTATACAGTATATATATATTGCGAATAAATATTTCTTATTGTATTTCACGTGGTTTTCCTAAAGAATAATAATGTTATTTTTTATTTCACCCTTCAAGTTACTACGGCTATATTTAACAAACCTTTAAGTGTTGACCTTTTGGAAATACACTAAAACTAGTTAATTTGAAAATAATTTTGTTCTAGAATGTGTGGTGGTGAGCAGCCTACTAACTCTCAGTGGCTCCAGTCCGTCATCTCAGTTTGACGACCAGTTCGATCCCTTTGATGACAGTTTTTATGAGCCTGGACCCCCTTACCTCGGTGACATAGTCAAGAATGTCCCCCGAGTTGGACGTAGAAATGACTTCTTTCTCAAGGCAGCCAAATCTGTTCCGAGGATTGGCCGCAGGGACGCGACTGAAGAGGTAAACCCGCCTCAGATTACCAAGAACTTACCAAGAATCGGGAGAAGGAACGATTTCTTTTTGAAGGCTGCTAAATCCGTTCCCAGAATTGGAAGGAGGAACGATTTCTTCCTCAAAGCTGCTAAGTCTGTACCACGAATTGGCCGAAGGGAAGATAGATTGGACAAACGAGGAGCTCTCACAAACGCTGTAAGTTAACTTCATCAAAAATGAAACTTATACCGTATCTACAGTAAAACTCCAATCAGGATCGCCAACTATTGTTCATCTCAAGGAGAAACAAAGTAATTTTGCAAAAAAATAGGTTCATTGCAGTTTGCGGTAATCCCTTAAATATTGTAATGAGTGCTAATTGTGTCTATCATTCGGCAAGTCTATTGAAGAGTAGTATTAAGTCATCTGCCTGGTGCTTGTCTAGTATACTTTTCTCTTGAAAAATCAAACCATTCGGATTATTGGTTATCTAGATGGGGTCCGGCCCCAATCGATCCTGATGGTTGGAGCCCTATCATATGTCTAGCCTTACAGTAGTTGCAATAGTTGTTCCTGAGGGGGGATATGAATTAAATAAGGAGATAGGTAAAATTAAACCCATTATCATACAATTTGCAAAGTTACTTAACATTGTAAGAGCACATTGCTACCTATTATAAAGGTTTGATAAAAATATTGAAGGTATGTGAATCCATCAAGCTTTATTATATTACTCCCTTACTAACTTGGTCTTGTAACTATGTTACAAGACCAATTTGACTATATTTGATCTTAAGGTCAAAAACCTAAAAATTAGCTTGCAATCCTTCACCATCCCAAAACCCAAACGTAAATTGGCTACTTAAAATATCTCATATTATTTTTGTACCAAAAGGTCAGAGTTTTTTTTGTAATACAGTTTATTCTTTCTCAACCAATGTTTATAGATGGAGGGAGGAGAGATGTCGGCATGGCCTTGGTTCCGAAACCCTGAACTAATGCCACGAGCATTCAAGAGGAGTGAAGCTTTCCATGGTAACAAGCAACATTTTATATTGAATGAAGCTTGAGTATTAGCAAAACATGTTTGCCAATGGCTAGAGGTGTGAAAAAAATAAATCATATGATGAGTTAAAAATTGATTTATGTTTAGAAAAACAATGGCAAAGTGTATTTAAAATATGCGATTGTAACCAGTATGTCCTTTGGTTCCATGGTTTAAATTTAAATCCCCTCCCAGTATCAACTCTTATTCACCCTAACTTTTTCCTACAAAATTGATTTTTTTAGGTATCACTTCATAGCACTTAACTGCCTCAAACAAAAGGACTTCAAAATTACATCACCGATCTCTTATGGTAATAATTAATTGCTGTTAATCGATTCCAAAATGTGATTGGGATGGTGTGATTATGATTTCAGGGCCAGAGCAAGAGAGGGACCATGGTTTAGTGTTTTACAAAATCGATTTGCACAGAGAAGTAGAAGAACCAAGATTCCAAGCAGAGGTGTGATACATATCTTCAGTAGTAAACCAAATTATTTATTGCAACTGTCCGTTATATATTTGTTATATTTGTCAGTTAATGAGGCCATTAGTTAAGTAAAATATCTAAAACAACCAAAAGCTATGTTGTCTAATTTACTTTCCTCAACTGTTCAAGATACAGGGTTAATTCGTTGATTTAATTATGTTTATTTTTATTACATTTTTCTCATCTGATGAACCAAAAAAATCCACATTCTCATAAAAAAGTTTTTTTGTTGTCATATACAGTACATGTAAGGATAGGTAAAAAAAAAAGTAGCAAAAAGGCTGATTTGAGGTGCAACTCATAAAGAATATATCCATCTGGATTGAGACAAGATTCGAACCCTCCCCCTATAGTGATGTAATAGATAATAGATAACTCCTGACCAGGAAGTCTATGCTTAACCTACTCGACATTTGATTAAACAGTTAGGGGTAAGCACTTTGCTCAAGCATATTTCTTTTGTGCCCCACCTACACATCCTGGGGAGCGAGCTGGCGTAGTGGTTAGAGCGCGGGACTTCAGTCCCTGAGGTCCCGGGTTCGATCCCCGCCAAGTCACCAATGGATTTATCTAAGTGATAATGCCGCAACCCCTAGGTCTAGCCTGAAGTAATGTGAAAAACAATCCCAGGCTCGTGCCTAGCGTCCTAGGACAAAAAAAAACCTACACATCCTGGGACATAAAGGCTCTAGCCTGGAACAGCTTCTTATACATTACTTCAGGCCAGACCAAGAGGGTTGCGGCATCATCACCTCGATAAAATCTATTGGTAAATGGCAGGATTTTAACCCAGGACCTAGGGGAGTAAAGTCCCACATTCTACCATTACACCAGCTCGCTCCCAGGCTAAGGCATAGTAGTTAATTCTAGGCACTCACAAGTTACAGAAATTGTCAAGTACAATTTTAAGCTGTTTTTGTTACATTATGCCCACAAAGTTATTAGTATATAAAGTTTAGTTTTTTTTTCTTTGACCATAACCCACTTAGGTCAAGCTATTTTATGTTAACTCTTAAGTAAAATCAGAGGTACATAAAATAAATTCTAAAATCATGATATAATAATGTGTGATGCTATGAGGATGACGAAGTAAAGCTCCAGTTGGTTTTAACAAGAATTTAACTTTATTTTCTACGCTAAGTTTAACAACATAAATAACCAACAATACAGCCATACAAAACCTTACCCATTTAGTTCCTTCCCACTACATAGAAGTTTTAAACTACTTCAAATTATGAAAGGTAGTCATAACCTGGATTAATACCCATATACAATACTGGAAGGAATTACATTCAAACCACAATTAACTTTCCTACTTGTACACACATGTTTTTTTACAATAAATATTCTAAAAAAATAAAGCAGTCTTTTACAATGTTAAATAGTAGTCTTACGCTAAATTTTGATTAAGAGTTTCTACAAAACTAAACTTGTAAGATCAGTCCTGGAGGGATGTACTGAATTATATCTTTGAATACCTATAGTGAATCAAGTCATGGTTAGCTAAATCTCTAAAATTAATTAGATTTTAAATCATAAGTATTTTTGATAACTTAAACATAATATTAAAATACAAATACGACTAACATTTTGACAAAAACTGTTTCTGAAAACTTTAACAAAATCGCAACCAATTTTTCTATATATGAAAATCCAGCCATATATCAACTTAAAAATGTATTAAAAAATAAAATAATAGAAAAGTTAAATTTTCACAAATTAATGAAACTAGCTTAATGTAAGCTCCATATAAAAAGCTTAAAAGGTAACATAGCACAATCAATATATTATAATAACTAATTTTTTAACACCATGTGGTAATCTATGGTTACCAAACCCGATATGCTCGCAAGAAATAATACCTTGAATTAAATTCAAAAGGGTAACTGGAAAGCCCTTACATATTTTATACAACTAAAATACTTTTCATTTGTGAGGATAAAAAAACAACAAACACTAAATGCATAATGTCTACTTTTGCATTTAAAAAGGCAGAAAATGTTTTCGACTAAATTGCTTACATATGCAGTTTTTAACCTGGCTAGAAATTGTGTAATATTGAAATTGTGTAGTAGTAACTATAATGTTTTTAAAGAGTTCTTAAAATACAGGTGCGTTTGATATCTAGGAACCGTAGACTGGAATGATTTCCAAGAAAGGGGCAAGAAACATTAGTAAAAAACGTTATTATGATTAGGAAATGACATTTACATCTTTAGGGAAGGTAATAAATTAACTTTGTTAATCTTAAAAACAGTTGTCTAAGCAAATTGCAGAAACTTTTTAATTTTTTAGATGTTGAAGAGTAATTTTTGACTTATTTCAAATATAGAATGAAATAGCTTAGAAGTCTCAATTTTGGAAAATTACTAAACTTTTTAAGCCGTATAGAGTACAAAATAGCAGATTGTTTCTTAGAATATTGACAAATCACATTTTACTTATCTAAAACTAATCATTTAGAACTGACTACTTCACTTATTAGAAAATACAATTTGATTATTTCCAGTCCTATATTTTACACCTTTGTTGCAGTAATCACTGTATCATAGTCTCCAGCGAATGTTGGACAGTTTAAAAGAAGATGACAGTAAACAGTTTTGTAATTTTCCATAATTGATACTTCCAAGCTATTACTGAACTTTATTATATTTGTTGACTTTATGAAATATTCACTTAACTCTACAAATGTGAAAGTATTATAACAAACTAAAGTAGAGCAGAATAAATATATTTGGAACACATTTTGTGATTTTATACAACTCATACTTTTAAGAGAAATATTGTTTTTGGCATTTGTCACAGACTTGCACTTCTTTGATTAAATGAACATGGTTCACAACTGTTTAGTTTTATTAATAGTGATTATTTATTGATGTCACTTAAAAATTTAGAAAAGTCCATTCTTGGGTTAGGGGAGTAATCTATGGATAAAATAAAGCTGCCGAATATTGTCAAGACTATTTTTTATTTTTTAATGAATGTGATTGCTTGAAGAGAGTTTTCTTTAGTCGATATGTTTAAACCTATATAAAAACATAGCTCGACATCTTAATATGCTTTAATAAAGTTTAGTGGGATTCATACTGCTTTAAATAAGTCTCAGATAGCTTAGTTTTGAACAAAAGATTATTTTTATCAAAAACTCGAATAAATAAATACCTGAGTAAGAACTCAAAAACATACAGCCTTTAGAGCTGACATATTATGTAAGAGTTCTTCCAACTCAAAACATTATGAAACAACAAATAAATGATTGAAAAAACTAATGGTACAATGACAAGAGGTTGACAACTTCAAAATGTAAACTATTTTTTAACTAAATTATGGTGGTTTGATTATTTCACTAATACTTGGTTGGTAGTTCATGTCATTAACCCTCGGTAAGAATTGTACTTCTTCAATAAAGAATCTATTTCTTTATCGGCGTTCTTTTCCTGTAAAAAAATAACATCATCAGTAAACTACTCATACATTACATAAAATAACAGTAATTAATAAACAAAATTATTTTAATATAGCAAAAATAAATGTTGGAAGTCGACAAGGTGATAAATAATGCTAATGCCATAAATATGCACAAATAAACAAATAAAAACAAGCCTAATAAGCACACTAGTGATGGGCAAATCCAAGAAAATGTCATTTACGGATGCGGATCTAGATACATACTGTACTGTTTTATAAGGATGGGGTTTTTAAAAAAACCTAATCGATATTTACAGAAGTCCAATTTAAATCATACTGTTTAGACTTTATCATCGTCTTTCGTGATCGTGGCAATAAAGGTAATTTCCCGATCGCGCAATCTTCATAGAAGAGTTGGGAATCGGTATTGGAATAGTGGTATTATATTTCAGATCACACGATCATCGCAGAAGAGTCGGGAATCGGTATTGGAATAGCATAATAGTTATAATTTAATATTGGCAAGTTCAGAGACAAGAAGAAGATGATGACCATGGGGTCAACACGTCTTTCCCCAAAGACAGTATTAAACAGTATTTGAGCGTGAATGAACACCTATCTCCTGACAATAAGGTATTCTTAAAAAATTTGAAAAAAAATCTAAGGGAATAGGTTATGAATATGCGTAGTGTAGGGACGGCAAGTTTTTTGCACGAAAGTGTCAGGATGCGAAATGCAAGAAGATTGACACTTATGATGAACTATTCAAGCTCCAATAAACCTTGTTAATTACTTCAAAAAATATCCATGGTATAATATACAGCAGATAATTTTTTTTAAATTCATTTTGTAGTTCAGCAGGATTTCCTTAACTCATAATGTCAAGTGGTGTAAATTTAGATATGAGTAGATATATATTCCTCGGCTTTGAAAACGCGATATATGGGGACTTTTTTTTCCCCTAAGGACGCTAGGCACGAGCCTGGGATTGTTTCTCACATTACTTCAGGCTAGACCTAGGGGTTGCGGCATTATCACTTAGATAAAATCCATTGGTGACTTGGCGGGGATCGAGCGCGGGACCTCAAGGACTGAAGTCCCGCGCTCTAACCACTACGCCAGCTCTCTCCCCGATATATGGGGACTAGTACATATTGCTGTTGAGAGGTGTTTGGGCGCTGCCCAAATCAACCATGTCTGGGTCGATTGAGTTGTTACCACCGACATGCAGACCATGGAGAGGTGTAAGAGGAAAAAGATCGTTATTAGGAACTGTATCATATAAGGTTGTTCTAATAGTGAGTTATAGCAGTGAACATGATTTGAAAAGGGAAATAGTCAGGCTTACAAAAAACGTTCGCAAAACATATCGGAAATTACAGCGTAACGCGGAAAACGTTGAGAGGTATTTGGAAGCTTCTACCAAACCGTTAGTCAGTACGTTGCAGAAAACTGTATTGGAGGGTATAAAACGATCTATGCTGCCGCCGCTATGGGTGGAAATCAAACAAGATATATATACGTCCGTGAACGCGATAACTTGAGTAATTTTTGTCCGATTTTGATGAAATTTGGTTTAAAGGTGATAAAGGTGATTAGGCGGCATAGAGCTATTAATATTTTACTAGAAAACACACTTTATTAGTTTCCTTGTAGCAGCAAACTTAGGTACTCATTAAACCTAATGTTATTTATAGATTTAATTAAAAATCAATGCAGACAAATGGAAATTCACTTAGTCGGGAGGTTTGCTGCGGCAGGGGGGCATGATGCTTAACTAAAAATATGTTATAATTTATTGTTTATTTATTTGTTCTAACTGGCCGCACTACTTGAAAAGCGGCCAGTCAATTTCCAAACACTCTCAATGTGTGTAATAAGTTTGTACTCAATAAATTCATTTATTCAATAAGAATCATGGTTTAATTTATAAGTGTTATTATTATTATAGAGAGATAACTGATGTCTGACACCCTGTATCTTTAACTAGCAGAATTAAAACTAGCGTTATCAATTTGTTACCAACAGTTGTAAAGTAAAAGGCTCTTGCTTAACACAGCACTTTGCCGGATTACATTTACTGCATACAGCAGGGAATACTTGCCATATGTTAGTAGCTACCAAAAAGGATTATTCAGGAGTTTAAGAATCAGTTATAATTAAGTATAATTACAAATAGTTACCTCGGCGCTTGCAGCAGGGATTTCCTTGGCTTTATCAAGCCATTCCAGTGCTTCTTGATAATTCTTCTCTCCAACGTAGCATTTAGCTAGAAGGAGCCGATTTTCCTTCCAGGCCGTAGAGTTGAGTTTCTCCGCTTCTAACAAAGAGTCAATCGCTTGTTTATAAGTTCCTGGAGGAACTTCTCCAAACAGTGTATTGGCCACTTTCTTCTCTAGCCAGGATAGACCAGCAACCTGCAAGATGTATACTTAGACAAATTTCACAGTTACAATTTAATATGTTTCTCTATAGGGGATACCAGATTTAATACCACCATGGTCAGATCTAAATTATGAGTACTTTCACATAAAATCACCCAAAAAATTTAGGTGCAAAAAAGCCTATCATTAGTGAAATAATCTATTAGACCATAAGATCTAAAATAACCTTGAACTAGGCATTTCGGATCACAGGGCACTTTTTATTGCAATTTCAAGAAATATTACACTTTGCAAAAAAGTAGGGTAGGTACAAAAAAATATTATTTTTGAATCAAAATAAAGCGCTTGATTATCAACAGATATCAGGAGTTAATCGGAACCTATTGCCTCAAAAAGATGCTCAAACAAATTTTTACCATTTTTTAAATTGATTGTCGGTAAATTTTGATAATGTTTCCCTCATAAACTTTACACTAATAAATAACCCAAAAATAAATATAGGAACTGCTGGGTGACTTAAGGTATTAAAATATTAAGTCAAGAAAAAGAGAGCTAAGCACTATTGCCCAACTGCCAAAACAGTTCAAAATATTAATTTTAAAAAGTAGCCTATTACAAAAACGATAGAGAATAGTTAGCCTATTTGTGTTACAAGTCGGAGAAGTGGCACTTTGCTGCACACGAGAGAAATGTTTACGCACAAGCCTTAGGAGAGTGTGGAAAGTTTCTCCAGCGCAGCAAAGGCAGTTTGCACTCGAGTTACACAACTTATTTTTCCTACAGTTACTATAAAGCATATAAATAATTAGTCTTTCAAATACTGTACAACACTATTTTAGGTTAGGTTAAATCCAAACATGGAATGAAATGGGAAAGGCTGCACCAGCTGATCTTAGTCGTAATATCTTTAAGTGTTGCCAACTTATTTTCAAGCGTACACATATTACGTGCATGATAAAAAGCACACTGTTTTGTGTTGTTTGGTTGGAATACTGGTGTGCGGCAAAAAGAGTGCGGCAAAAGTAAGGAAATGCAGTAATTAGCAACTTTCTGTACTATAATCAGTACAGCCCACTTTGTCAGGTGACTGTAGGAAAATATAAAGGGTATGCCTTGCTTACACACTGTCTCAATTAGTCAATGATTGGGTGAAGGAATTTGTCCCTACCAATTAAAAAATGATGAGCTAAAACCACCTTTGAAAAAACTAAAAAGGCTCAGTCATGGATCCCGATAACTATCGTCCTATTTCAATACTCCCATCGTTGTCTAAAATCTTTGAAAAAATTGCTTACAAACAAATTTAATGAAATGAAATATTACTTTATTATCACAAAACATTTCACAGATCCAGCGTTAGCTGGTGAAACAGGTGATATTGTCAGAGATCTTTATTATATTTTTTTGTCTTTATTGATATTTAGAAAATAATAAATTATTTACCAATAAACAATTTGGTTTTAGATCTGGGAAAAGCACTAAATCTGCTGTCTCAGATTTAATAAATCAGGTGTCCACATGGTCCTTTCTTCTTATTAAAATTAATTAATAAATTAAATTAAGATTAATTAAAATTAATCTATCCACGGCATTTGATTGTGTAAATTATGATATATTGATATGCAAACTTAAATATTAAAATTTTATGATATGGCACTCTCTTGGATGCATTCATATTTAACTAACAGACAACAAAGAACAATAATCATAAAAAATGTATTTCACAAAGGCTTAAATGCGGGGTTCCGCAAGGGTCAATATTAGGCCCCTTGCTATTTTTAATATTTATTAATGATTTACCTCTAAAGGTATCGTCAAACTAGGGGTGTGCGAGTACTCGAAACTTCGAGCTTTTTGGTCGAGCTTTTCATTATTCGGCTCGGCTCGAGGCATTTTGAAAAAGCTCGAAGTTCGAGCCGAGCTTTTAATACTGTCAAAACTAAAAAAAACACTTAATTTGGGTCGTAATTGAAAACAATGTTATCACAATTCTACGTTGTTCATGCATTCGAGGTTTGATAAGCACGAACCTCAGCTCAATCAAGACGCAATGATTATCGATCGTAATTTTGAGGAGATAGGAAAGAGACAAACTACCACCTATCGCGGTGTCTTTCTAACACAGCTGACAGCTATTCGTATCGTAATATACAACGCAGTGCGAGTGCGTGATTGGCTCGTCGCTATGACGACACACGGTTGCCGTGACAACCTACAGTGCGCACTGAGCACTGCGCCTTTGCCTTGTGTGGGAGGGGAGATTATACCAACAAACTATTTCTGGAATTCTATTTTGGGACGGATAAAGATAAGGAAGAAACAAAATGTGGTCACGTGTGCAAATGTAGTGGGCGACACAATAAGGCTGTAAACGAGTATCGTCGTGCCGTTGTTCCTTGTTTGTTTACTTTTTCAGATTCCTTATCAAACGCCCCTATCTGCTATCTCTCTTTCTCTCTCCCCCCTCTCTCCCTCTCTCTGCTCTCTCTCTCTCTCTAACAACGTACTGATTAAACAGATTGTGGTTGACGACTTTTCTACTTATAACTTTCCCTGGGTTATTTTAGTTCAATCAATCCCATAACCTTTCTGATGTTAATCAAAATAATTAATTAATCTGTTTTGTATTTTATTTCCTTTAAACCAACCCCTATTTACCATCTATATTTTATAGAATAAAATGTTTGTTTATAAAGTTTGACTGGCCACACAATTTTGTACCTATTTCATTCTGTAGTTACTTTGATGATTATATATATATATCAATAAGTGGTGCGTGCTGTAATGAATGCTTTGTATTATCAAAATAAGTAATGAATTATTAATTTTTGATAGTACATGGATCATTGAATACCATAATGTGATGTAGTTTCCTATTTGTAACTTGCAAATATTAATAATTGATAGTTAATTCTGGAAAATGAAAAATAGTGATCGCATTCATAAACCTATTGTCAAAACAGCAACGCGGGTGGGTGTAAGGGTTTATTGTTTCAGAGGCTAGGGTGTTTCAAGGACAAAGTGTTGGGCCACCCGGATTGGGGTGGGAGGGGGGCGGTGAGACTGTGAGAAGGGGAGGAAACTGGTTTTGGCTATTTATTGATTAGTTTGCCGACCCTTCTAGATAACAAAATTGAGTGACAGTGACAGTGTTAAATCACTGTTCTGTATTTCATTTCTTGTTTACGTTGTGTGTTATTCTATTAGTTTTAGTGTTTTGGTCTATTTCCTCTATATGTCAATTATATTATTTAAATATATAAGTTTACTTTTTACTTGTCTCTCCACCTTTTTGGATCCAAACCAACCATGTTCTTTTTTGATTAATACAATTCATGAAACAAAAATATTTTGTGTAATGAAAACAACAAGAATAAGCATGTGTTTTTAAATTTATTTTGTATTTATTTATACAAAATAGAATTAGATATTCATAGTAGTTACAATATACATTATGTAATCGACTTGCTGTCGTCATTCAATTTCGCGTTGCTGCTCTGTTATGAAAGACAATCTGATTGTCTCTGTCTGCACTGCATATCTCGTCAGCCCTTCAATCGATATCCTTTTATTTCTTGCATCTTAATTTAGTTCAGTTCTTATCGTGATTATCTACTATTTGGTGTCTTGACAATTCTCAATGTTTTTAAACATATGTATTAAAATAACATTGTGTTTATTTAAAAATTGACTGAACATTATTATTATTATTATGCACTGTTTTAAGAAAAAAAGTTTAATAATTTAGATAAGGTGACGCTAGGAAAAGCTCGGCTCGAAAAAGCTCGAGCTCGAAAATTTTTTAAAAAGCTCGGCTCGGCTCGAGGTTGAAAATCACTATTCGCACACCCCTACGTCAAACCTTATCTTATATGCTGATGACACTAAGGCAATAATTTGTAAAATCTTAAACAAGAACTCAGTCTTTCTATTCTTAATTCATTTATCTAATTGGTTTACAGCTAACGCCAATGGGTTAAAACTTCCAAGACATCGTCTATGTTTATATGAAAAATCTCCTTATTACATGAGTTTAAGGCTTTACAACAGTCTACCCACTAATTTCAAAAATATTAACAGTATTTCCAAATTAAAAAATTATTTTAAACAATACCTTTAAAAGAAAAATTATTATTCACTTACCGAATGTTTAAATGATAAGTAAATGTATTTTAGTTTTAGTTAAGTAGTTTTTTAATTTTATTTTGTAGTGTTTAAGATCTGACAATGTCACCTGTTTCACCAGCTACGCTGGATTTGTGAAATGTTTTGTGATAATAAAGTAATATTTAATTTAATTTCATCTCATGAGTCTGAAACTTTAGTACCAAAAATAAAATATTTGAATTGATAGTATTAATGGGTTAAGCATTGTTTTTGTAAATTTGTAGATACTGTATTGTTCATATTATTTGTGTTATGCAGTTGTTGACAAATTTAATTTATGACAAACTAGACATATGTAAAATATATTAAATATTAATAATATATAATTATGATGTGTCGATACAAAATGTATAAATTATCAATACCGATACCATTTTTTTATAGTTTTGCCAAATGTTCCGAATGGATTGGTTGAACTAAAAGACCACCTGTCTTTATGTCCTTCCAAAAAGTATTTTAAGGTAATGGTGTGTTTTTCAAGTAAAGAAAAAATTAGCAGCAATGTGCAAATTCTAACAATCTAATTTAAGTTTAAACCCTACTAAACACACATTAAATAGCTACCATACCAAAGGTAAAAGAAGATCTAACAACAACAAATAAAAATATTGTCGATCAAAGAGTAACAGTATGGCTTAAGTATGAAATTGTACTAATCTGTTGTGGACACCCTGTATAAGCATGTACCTCGTAGTTGAATCGGCCACATAGATGATGTAGTGTCGCATCCTGAGGATTGATCTTGATGGCCTTGTCTACATGTTCCTTGAACACATGTCCGTCACGTAACTTTTCCTTTACACTCTGGAGCTGGCCCCTGGCTCCCACGCAGATGGCAAACCACTTATGTGCTTTCCAGTTCTCAGCGTCAATCTCTATGGCTTTTTGTCCGTAGTCCACTCCTACCATATTTTTTAGTTAGTAAGTGCTTGCTACTAAATATATAAACCAAACAAGAGCTATGAAATAATTTAAAAAGTATTTTCCTATGAATTTTCAAAGTATGTCTTCATCAAACATTTTTGGGCCTTTGTTCATTTGTATCTGTAAATATTAATTTTCCCTCCTTTTATTTAGACTAGGTAACACATTAAAAATAATAACTTTTAGAACTTTAGCATTCAAAAATATATTTTATTGTACTAAATATTGGTTCAATTAAATAGGTACCTTTGTAAACAAACTCTTTCATTTTGTCCTTATCTCCTTCAGCTCCGTTCAAGGATCCCATCATGTGACAAGCCTTGGTCATCCTCCAAAGGATCTCAGGGTTTTCTAGGTCCTGAAGAAAAATATTCTAAAATTAGCAACATAATACCTAAATACTTTTTAAATTTATTTCCACAATCTTGGAAAATAATATGACTTTAAAATCCAAGCTTTCACTTAAATTAAAAAAAAACAATAAACATAATCATCAATCTGATACATACTATCTACCATTAGCTTGTCAACAACTCTTATCAACAACCTTAAGCGGTAGGAGTAAATCTATGATATTCTATGGGAAAATCATGTAAGTTGCAATTACATTTGAACCATAATTTTACAGCAATGGGGTTTTTATCATTTTGTTGCAAGTTAGAAGGGCTAAAACATACAAAACTACAATCAAAATTGTTCAAGACATTTTTTAAATCCATATTTTCTGTCATTTTACAAGGTTTTAGGAACAGGTTTGATTTTCTTTCATGTTGCATACATTAATTTTACTTTCAAACATTTTCATTAAATTACTGGATTTTAGAAATATTTGAAACATTCTACTATAAACTGTTTATTTCAATTTAGAATATAAATTAAGTTCTATTTCTTATCCGGTTTGTGATAATTTGTTCAGACTAAGGTAAATTCAGTTATTAACGACCGTTTTTAGTGATAAACCCTCCTGATTGTGGTTAGTTGGTCAAAACTGTGGTGCGGCAACGTGGTTGGTTGTGGTGTGCCGGTGTAAATGAGTAAGTCTCTCGTAGGTGAACTATATTTGACTTTTTGGCTTTTGTAAACATTTTCCGTGAAGTGCGTTTTGACGCCTAATTCATAAATAGGTGATTTTTTTACTCCGAGTGGCTCAAGAATTAAACGTTCACGTGTCATCATCTCACCTGATAGCCCAGACAACATTGAGGTTAGCTACGTGGGAGATGCAAAGGTAGGCGACATGACCCTAGCTCAGCTTATGGCAGGTTTAAGCAGCTTACTTGAGATTAGACGAAAAGCTGTCAAAAGTAGCAACCAAGGACGATGTAATAACCATAAACACCAAAGTAGAGGAATTAACTGCTGACAACATTGCTCTAAGGAAGAAGAAATTATTTCGTTAAAAAGACAAGAAAGTTTTACCCATGAAAAGCTCATTGATCTGGAATAGAGAAATAACCTAATATTTAAAGGTTTGCACTGGTCCGGGAAGCGACCGGACTTCGGAAAAATAGTGAGGACTTTTTGTCATGAGGTTTTAGGATGTCAAGAACGAGTGTGGATAAACAGAGCTCACCCTATAGGTCGAGATGGCAAGTCCATTATAGCTTATTTACCTGATGACACTGATATAGAATACATACTCAGTCATACATAGTCGTGGTCTCTGAAACTGGATTCAGTTACGACATTTCAAGAAACATCATTAGACAACTGCAAACAATTTCTAGATGATTGTAAGAAAAAAAATAAAAATATTATTTTTGTCACTGAGTGATAAGGGAAGGGGTTGAATTTGTCCCCATAAGGTTGATATTGGATTCCGGAGTAGGACAAACATATGGTTTAGTTCTACGTGTGGGGTTGGAGGACACCTCCCAGTTTTACTCCCATAAGAGCCCATATTGGCTACGGCAGTAGGACGAACATATACTACTAGTGAAAGTGGTGGTGGGTCTTCATCACCTCCCAATTTTTACTCTCATAAGAGTCTATATTGGATCCCGGATTAGGAAGAACATATATACTCTACTTTGAGTGGGGGGGAGTGACGTAATTCTATTCCAAGTGATGTCTTGCAATTTCTTATCTGCCACCCATCGGTCTTCGGCACACCTATCATCCCCATATCACGTGCCATGTTTCTTGCACGCCTCGTCTAAGGGGTTCACTACCACAAGCCAGTCAAGCTTGAAAATGGGCAAATCTCTAGTCTGTTGGGGGCCGGTCCAGGACCGGCTTTTCCCTACTACTTAGATAAACTGTAGAAAATCGTCATTATATTCCCATATAATTCCCGCTTTTTACGATTTCCCGTTTGCCGGGCACTCTGTATATTTGTCAGCATAGGGCTTTTATTCCAGACTATTTTATTCAATTCTCAATACATAATTTTGTTTAAACCAATTTATGCACTTTAAGACGATGAAGATAGGTAAAATCACACAGCAGAATTTTTCTTATTCATCCAACCAACAACATTTTTTTTTTTTTTTTTTATAGAGGGCCAGGCTTACAAGTAACCATGGGATTGCAGCGCAGCTGGAACAGCTTATTGTGCACCCTCATTCACAGGTCCTCATTCTCCGTCAAATCCCAGGTCCTTTGTGAACCATGAGATCCTTTCTTCCCTTTGATCTCCAGTCGATAGGCCAAGGGATCTCATGCGCAGACCTTGTAGGGCTGGGCACATAAATATCATGTGGAATGCTGTCTCCTCCTCCTTTCCACATTTCCAACATAAAAGGCTTTTAACATGAACTCCCATCTTGTGTAGATGTCCACGGAATACCCAATGGCCAATAATAAAGCAAACCACCTTCCGCAGGTCTTCCTACTCAGCCTAAGGGCATCTGCCGCTATCGCACCAGTAGGTGTCTGCAGCATTCTCTTTGAATGTACATTGCCTTCTGTTCTTTCCCAGCTCCTTCGATGTTCTATGCCCATCCACTGGCGAACAGCTCTCCGTGCTGTGTTGTAAGCAATGCCACACGTCGGCTCTGGACCCATGAGCGGGCTTTCAGCTCCTTTCTTTGCCCACTTGTCAGCTCCCTCATTGCCAGCAATACCTTTGTGCCCTGGAACCCAACTAAGAATGATCCTGTTGTTCTTTCCCAAGGCTTTCATGGCCTGATGACAGCCCCATACAGCCTTGGAGGTAAAGTCAAAACTGTCGAGTGCCATTAGTGCTGCTTTGCTGTACGAGTTCATGTTTGCTTTAATCTTTCTATTTACCAAAACGTTATATAAATTTAATAACAAACACAAGCCTACACAACCAAATAACTTGCATGCTGATTTGTTACACACAATATTTACAAGTTTTTTTAGCAATAATGAAAAATCTACAATAATTTTTACCTTATCAAGAAGTTCTAGCAGCAGACCGTAACCCTTTGTTTTGTCTTCTCGTGAACTCCCTTCCAGGAGAGTGTCGATCTCATCAAATGTGGAGTCTTTGTTTTCTTCTGCCATGCTAAAAGCAATAAAAAATTAATATAATCCAATAAAAATTTTTCATCTCACTGTAAAAGATCCATAGAAAGTGGAAAACAAAAAGTCTCCTTTCTATTGAAATGCAGTTTCATTGCAATGAAAATCTCATCATAAATAAAACATAAACATAAATACATAACATACATAAATAATAAAAATACATGCCACTGCAGACGAAGTGAATTTATATTTTCCTGATTGGTTTTTTGTTAAAATATTTCCTTAAACTTAAAACTGCAGGTTTATTCTATATTTAAATAAAACTAGGTTCAACGATTACTTAGGTTTGCTGGTACAGAGATGTGTTTTTGGTAAAATGTAAAATGTTAGTAGCTTAACAGGAAATTAAATAAATTTGCCATATTTCATTAAATATAAAAAAGCAAACTACAACAGTTGACTTATTCTCTATACAAAAAAATATAAAAAAATTCACCTTTTTGAAAATTTTAAATTTACAGTTTTAGTTGAATTTTTTTTGTAACTTATAATTGTACAACAGCACTTTAACATAGTAAATTACTTATTTTTAAGCTCTACAAAACGTTTTAGACATTTTATTTTGAGGGTAAAAAATGGGAAGACACAATTTTTACAAAACCCCCCATAAAACCCCATTCCCCAAGTCTGATGATGGTGGTTCCCAAACTTGTCGCCGTCTGAACCAACCAAATTAGTAAGAACAAAAAAGATCGGAATAAAAGAAGTCTACTTCATAGTTTGTTTGGAAGACACTTACCACTTTGAAATGTTAAGGGTTTATTTTATGAATCATTACTATACTGTTCATAAGTTTATATCCAGTTTAGGGAGCAAGTGAATCCTAAATAATTATGATTAAAGGATTTTTCTAAATAGATCAGTCAGTTATGTGACAGACTATAAAACAAACGCCATGGTGTAATTTTACTAGTTTAAGTCATCATTGGTATAGTTCATTCTTTAACTATATCGACTAACCGCTTTCTTTGTTTGTTACGTTCCATGGACAGGTTTTTGAGGACAGGCAAATGCAAGGTTAAAAGAGGCAACCAACCTATTTCTTTGAGTGAAAAATACATAGATTAGGGAACATAATTTAAATGTCAATGAGTTAAATTGAATTTTGTGTTATAAAAATTGTTTTGAAGCAGTATTTAGTTAGTTTGCAAAAAAGTATTCTGGTCATTCATAATACATGATACGAATGAAATATTAGCTGTACCAGTATGTTATATTAAGTAAGTTAATTTATGATTTTTCTAAATAATAGAATTTGTATTCTTTAAACCAAAACAAATTAGATTCCTGCATTGAGCTTTTACTTTTCTAGCTTAGGTTAATATTTTTTTAAGAACCTAAATTTCAAAATAACTAATCACAAAATTTATTTTAACATATTTTTACTTCCTTGAGAGTACAAACCTTGGTGTTTTAAAATTATACAAAAAGAAATATTCAGTACAAAAATGCTACCAACACATTCACCGAGACTTACTGTAGATGGTTAAAAAGAGCACACGTTTCAACAATTATGTATACATTATGTCATTAAACACTTGTTTTAGAGTGGAAAATGTTTAAATTGAAAATGGTTACTCTTGGAAAACTGATGTATACCAGAACACTGAGAGTGCAATGCTACTTCTCTGACAATCCACACTTGACTATAGATAAGATAAAACATGAAACATGATCATTTTAGATTAAATTAAATAAATATATTAGTTCGAGTTTAAAAAAATGAAAGACAGTAAAATTACATTGATTTTGGGAAATATAATGGACAGAAGTTTATCGAATTATTCACATAAAAAAAAACATGTTTTACATCCAGGCTGTATTTATAAAAAAACATTGGTCTTTTTGCCAACAGGATGTCCTAAGTTATATAAGCCACATGTAATATATATATTTTTGTTCATATATGATACACTTGTCTACCGCATATGAACATTTACCAGACAATATTTAAGAAATCATCATTTATTTGATTTGTACATAAGCAATACAATTTTATATAGTCAAGAACACATAAATAAGTACAAACATTGGCTACAAGATCAGTTTTAAAATTATAGACAATGTGTTTCCCTACATCAACAAGACAAAAGTAATCCTAACAAAGAATATCCCCGCTGCAGCAAACCTGTAGACTGAGAAAATTTCCATTTGCCTGATTGGATTTTCAATTAAATCTATTTAAATAAAGTCCTAATAAGGTTTATCATAGGTACATAGGTTTACTGCTACAGGAGGGTATTTAAGTGTGTGTTTTTTTAAAATATAAATAGCTTAGTATAAAATAAATAAATTTGCCAATTTTGATCAAAATATAATATATATCCATAAACAGGAAAACTACATACATATCATGCATGAGAATAGACTAAAAACTACTTTTACAATTCTACGCTTATCAAGTCCACGGCATCAATGCGTACTATATAAAATATGAATAGTCACTATGAGCAACGCTTGCACTTCAAGGTAAAAACACATCGTCGCTGGCAGCGACGCTGTAGCACTAAAAGGGTTAAGAAAACCCAAACTTTTGGATATGTAATCCTATTTAAAAAAAACTCTTTTTTGACATTTCTTTTTCCCTTTTTATACGCTTGGAACACTCTATTGTTTATTTTTAACTTGCCTAATAATTCAGCCACGCGATTTAGAAACTTTGGTTAAGGGGAATGTACTTTTATTCAATTACTTACTTTTCGTTATCTGAGGAAAAATCAAAAAACTCGTCATCAACTTCGTCTCCACCAACAACAGAGAACATCTCAGTTTCAGCCTCAGTCGTGATGCTGGCAGCTCCCAACAGTCTTTTGGAGTTGCGGCTCTTCCTCTGAATTTGCAGAACTCTGAAAATAAACATGGAGGCCTATGAAAAATACAGGAATTTGCAGGACTTTCCATAAAACACACCAACTGCTCAAATGCTAGGGTCAAATCTTTACAAAAACACAATAAAGATGATTATTATAAGTTTTGTGAAAACTAACTATTCATGGTTTTGGTATTTATTTCAATGGTGTGAGTACAGTAGGCGTACTTACTAAAATCAGTGACATTTACGGGATTAGTTAGTGATTTTACCACAATCACAAAAAATTGCATAGCCTAACTAAGCTTAGGATAAAATACCAACTTTGAAATTTTTGCTGTATGTTGCCAACAAACAATAAACTTAGTGAATTTTAGGGAGAGGGCATACGTAATAATATAGTTATTTTCATCACTTACCTTAAAGTGTCAAGCTCTCTACGAATTTCTGCAACAGTTTCACCCAGCTGAGAAATATCCTCTTGGAGCAAAAGACGTCTGCGTTCACCAAATAACTGTTGATATAGGAAGACACTGGCAGCACCTATCATAACACCAGCACCAACTGCCACAGCAACCAGCCCACGGTAACGTATGAAGTCTCCATTCATTTTCAATCTGCAATGAAATAACAGAAATTACAGAAGGCCTAAAAATAAAACAGGCATGCTAGCTAACAATGAATGGTTTTCTTGTTAGAACATTAACAGTAATGATAAAATCGCAGATAAAATAATGTAGTGAGGTTAAAAAACTTAGCTAATATCAGGGAGTGAAACAGAGGAATAAATGATTTAGGAAGGAGTGACTGAGAGCCATACCTGTGTAATACTTTTCTAAATGGTCATAATCAAATCAATGAGCTTCAAAAGGCAGCCTGTCAAAGAACTTCACAGTTTTTACACCAACGTGTTCAAAAGAATTTAGCACTTTTCTTAGTCTAGCGTATGGTTTATCTTATTTTTCTCTGATGAATTAAATTAGATTTTTACAAGTGCATTTGATTAAAGACGGATGGATGAACAGCGAGTGTTGATGAATGAGATGACAGCTTTGTTACTGACTGATCTGCTGGGTTCAGTTTTGAACCATTTAAAAGATTTTGACCTTAAGAGCGCGCTTTACCCTTGACGCGCAACCGAATGCAAGAGTTTGCAAGATTTCTGTTTTCACCTGCTACATTGAAGGTAGAATCAAAGTTAAGGTCTCATATTAAAGAAGAAGAAATGTTCTATAGTTCTTTTTTTCTATATTTCAATTATTAAACACACCTTATACACTTGAGTTGTAGTACAAGAAAAAAGGGTCTTTTCAACTAGCCTAAACTTATAAAAAAAGTTTTTTGAACATTTTAAAAACACAGAACTATAGATTGGTCTTTGTACTACTATAAGCCTTTTAGAGTGCATAGCTATCATTATTTGTTAATTCTAACAGTAATCTTGGAAACGTCTGCAAGCGCTTCTCGCAGCGCTGTCCAATGGTGAAACCTTGCTACTGAAGCCCGAGCTGAGGTAAAGCGCACCCTTAATCAGGACCGAACGGGCAACCTTCGTAACACTAGGTAAGCATAATATCCACTCAGCTAACATACCCAGCTATATTAACTAAAGAAAGGTTTTTTTGTAAAACCTTACAAACAAAATAATTGTGAATTTTAATAGCCCTGGAATTGACTAATGCATTTTTTAAATATCACACTGCTGAACTTTTGATTACCAGACACTCAGCTAACCAGCTACACATATGAAATCAACCTAACTTGCGAAAAAAACAATTCTCCGGCATTTCAGCCTCAATGTAAAGGAGCATCCTAAGGGCGACTTGACTTCCGGACAGATGACAAATCAAATAACATTTTTTAAATAGTGTATTGTTGATTTTGACACAGTCACTCCCAGAAGACCATGATTCTACAATAAGTGGCCACAAAAGTCAATCCAGGAAAATTACAAAGTTAGGTAGGCCTACTTAGACATTTAGCCTAGGGAGCTTAACTTAGGTACTTACCCTACCTAAGTTCCCTAGGTTAGATGTCTAAGTAGCAGCACAGAAAACATACTACTAAAACCCAGAATGCCAACCGCATGGTAAAAATCATTAAGTGTTTTGAGAGAGCTTTGACTGTCAATTTGTAGGCAGCGCCACCAGCGATACCATGCACTCAGCATAGACACGCTGGTGGCGCTGCCTACGAATTGACAGGCAAAGCTCTCTCAAAACACTTATACTTTTTACCATGTGGTTGGCATTCTGGGTTGTAGTAGTATGTACATAGGTAGCAGTGGGGATGATGGATGTGTGTTCCAGTGGGGTAAGTGGAACCGAGCAGTAAAAGTATCAAGTTGATTGATAACCAGACTTCTACTAACTAAAACCCAAACTTTGTATAAGCTATCGATGGAATCGGATATCAAAGTTTTGCTGTAAGGGCATACTTCTGAAAGCAATCAATAATTGACAAAGAAGTTGCCTATCTTAAATTAGACACTGAAAACTTCCAAGGGTTCTTATGACAGTGGCTGCAAAAGCCTGTGTACATAAGTTAGACCTATAACTTACAATAGAAATTTTTAGCAAAAGTACATTAGCTAGGCCTACCTACCCTACGTAAGTTATAAGAATTTTTCTCTCGAGGCTATAAGCTAACTTAGACTGTAGGTAAAAAACAATAGCCCAACAATCAGGGGAATAGGCCTTTGCACTAGTTAGGCGTACCACATTTAGAGTGTATACAACTAAAAGTAACACAAGCCTAAAAGCACTAAAAGTAACTTAATACACCTCTATCAGTTATGCCTATGACCTTCAGTGTGATCCCTACCTAGGCCTAAGTTACTGCTTTACTAGATTCTACTGATGTTGAAGATTAAGATAAGTAGTGCTACTCACCAAGGCAACATAAATGTTCCATCTCAACTGCAAACTGGAGGACTTTTAGAAATAACTAATTTATAGCTAGGCCAATTTGTACATAGGAAGACTTAGGCTTAGTTATACGCTAAAAGTATAAGGGGAAAAATGTTTAAATACAATGTCAAAAACGAAAAGTGTGTCTAAGTGATAGGGCAATATATTTTGCTACAAAATTTACCACAACATATATTTCTTATTCTCGCACCACGACAATAAAAACCAACTACTTAGGCCTACGGCCTACTTACTTAAAAGAAAAGGAAATTTTGAATGCGAAATAGTCTAGTCACCTGTCACCACAAGTCACAACACACGAACGAACAGAACAGAACAGACACAAACGACCACAACCACAACGCACAACACACAAACTGACAAACAGAACAGACACAAAGACCACAACGACACGACACCGGACTTCGGACCACTGAGCTAAAATTCGGACACAACCATCACAACCACAACCACTAGTGACTAGTAAGTAGCATTGAGTATAAACATAACATAAGTTAAGTGACGTGAAGCTGGCCCGCCCATTCCAGCACACTTTTTTTAATGTATACAAAAAAGTGTGCTAAAAGTGTGCTCTTTATAACTGCTATTAAAAAAAAGTGTGCTCTTATAATAATTATGATATAATCAATTGTATTTGGGAGGGCCAGAATCACGACTGGCCCGCCCATTTCAGCTACAGATCTATAAACCATACCAAAAAACTGTGCTAAAAGTGTGCTCACAGGAATCATTAATTAAAAAAAGTGTGCCGCCCCCGTTACTATACAAACAACCCCTAAATGGTAAGGGTAATAAAATGACCCAGCCCGCCCATTTCAGCTACAGATCTATAAACCATGCCAAAAAACTGTGCTAAAAGTGTGCTCACAGGAATCATTAATAAAAAAAAGTGTGCCACCCCCGTTACTATACAAATAACCCCTAAATGGTAAGGGTATAATAAAATGACCCAGCCCGCCCATTTCAGCTATAGATCTGTAAACCATACCAAAAAACTGTGCTGAAAGTGTGCTCAAAGGAATCATTAATAAAAAAAAGTGTGTCGCCCCCGTTACTATACAAACAACCCCTAAATGGTAAGGGTAATAAAATTACCCAGCCCGCCCATTTCAGCTATAGATCTGTAAACCATACCAAAAAACTGTGCTGAAAGTGTGCTCAAAGGAATCATTAATAAAAAAAGCGTGCCGCCCCATTAGTTAAAAAATAACCCCTAATTGGCAAGAGTAATAAAATGAAGAATCCTTTCTACACCATCGTGAGATTTTTGTAGGCCTACTACTTCCTTCTTTGAACTACTTTTATCTTACTCTGTGTATGCATTATTTGTTGATTAACGCCAATTTAATTGATTTAGCACACCCTAATTTTGCAAAGGAATTGTAAGCCAATAACTTAGATGATTATTATAGAAAAGAATAAAAGGTCTCAATAAAAAACTTAAGTCCCATGAATAAAGGGAATATATTTATTCATATAGTTGCTACAAATAACCAAGTTATTATAACAAACATAATCTTAAACATGGATACAATACTTCCCTTAGAAGGATTAAAGCTTAGCATTTAATAATTTTGTCAATGTCTAAAACCACAGCATTCAGTTTCGGTAAATGTATCCAGGCTAGCGATAGTAATTTAGGGTACATAATCATTTTTTTACGACAAGAAACTGGTAACCTACAACATGGAATAAACAATTATAGGAGTATAAGTTTGAAATAAATATTTTTTCAATTTATCAAGATTACTAGAGTATGCTACAGTAAAATATAAGCTTGCTAGTTTTAGAAGAATTCTTCGTAAAGTAAAGATAACAATTAATCTGTTCAAATTTATGGTGGAATGTGCCTGGCCGCCTGGCTTTGTATATAAAACAAATATTTCCCAAGTGTATGCATGTTGGTTTATGTTTTGAACAGAACTAGTGTACTTTTCTATGCTAGAGGCATTTCGTTTGATGGGAAATAAAAAGTACTAAGTTAAAACGAGTGTCAAAGGTTCTTTTTCGAGTGCAAAAAATATAGTTTTCCTTTTGAAATGTATAGTTACCGGTAGTGGTAATCAATTAAAGTGGTATCCTTCTTGAACTTTAAACAGAATAACATTTGTTTACAATATTTTATGGCAGAGGCTATCGCGCATGAGTCGTGACCGCTACCGCGCATAATAGCAATAACAGTTTATAAAAATAGAAAAGATTTGAAAATAATGACAGACAAAATTTGATGTTAATAACTTGTTTCCTAGAAAAAAACCATTATTCTTTATGTATTTTTAACAAATACATCCTGTCCTCTCAGTAAATAGTTTCCTACTAGATTCCCTGTGTATTATTTTATCAACATTTTACATTATTGTCATTGAATACAACTTACTCATGGGTTTAAATTTGGTGCAAAATTAGTCTTGGTTGTGGGATTGTGTTATAAAAACTTTTACCTTAGATTGTGTACAACAAAATATGTACAATTACTTCTGTTTTTTCAGAACGTGTGATGACTTTATCTCTAAGGTCATCGTACAACTCCCAAATATTGTCATTTCTTAATGCTAATGATGTGTAGTGTCCCACGTGATTGTCGTTTGCAGGAGGTATGAACACGACGACTCCTCTAAGTGTGAATGTTCTATCAGAGTACCGTATTTCTTTTGGGATGTCATCCAGGGAGAATTTCACGTTTGTTAACACCCCTACATCCATTCCACCGTTGTTAAACCTCTCTTCATCGCTTAAGACCTCAATTATTAAGTTGAGCCCAGACTGAACCTCTCGGGTCCGAATACCCGAACATAGCGCACCTTGAAATTAATCAGAAATAAGGTTGACTTTCCCACAAATTCTGACGTCACTCGGATTGCAAACAAAAGATCACCTGATTGTAGCTGTCAAATTAGTATATGTATTTGTTTTGATTTGGTTGTTATTGTTTTTTATTATTATAAAAACAATAACAATCAAACCAAAACAAATGCATACTAATTTGACAGTCACATCAGGTGATCTTTTGTTTGCAATCCGAGTGACGTCAGAATTTGTGGGAATAGCACACCTATGTTTTTTCCTTCCACCATGATGTGTAGCTAAATTACATACGATTGGTAGCGGGGACAATTTTTTTAATTAATGGTTCCTGTGAGCACACTTTTAGCACAGTTTTTTGGCATGGTTTAGAGATCTGTAGCTGAAATGGGCGGGCTGGGTCATTTTATTGCCCTTACCATTTAGGGGTTGTTACTTGTTTGTTAAGTAACGGGGGCGGCACACTTTTTTTTATTAATGAATCCTGTGAGCACACTTTCAGCAAAGTTTTTTGGTATGGTTTATAGATCTATAGCTGAAATGGGCGGGCTGGGTCATTTTATTGTACCCTTACCATTTAGGGGTTATTTGTATAGTAACGGGGGTGGCACACTTTTTTTTATTAATGATTCCTGTGAGCACACTTTTAGCACAGTTTTTTGGCATGGTTTATAGATCTGTAGCTGAAATGGGCGGGCTGGGTCATTTTATTACCCTTACCATTTAGGGGTTGTTTGTATAGTAACGGGGGCGGCACACTTTTTTTAATTAATGATTCCCGTGAGCACACTTTCAGCACAGTTTTTTGGTATGGTTTATAGATCTGTAGCTGAAATGGGCGGGCCAGTCGTGATTCTGGCCCTCCCAAATACAATTGATTATATCATAATTATTATAAGATCACACTTTTTTTTAATAGCAGTTATAAAGAGCACACTTTTAGCACACTTTTTTGTATACATTAAAAAAAAGTGTGCTGGAATGGGCGGGCCAGCTTCACGTCACTCATAAGTTATGTTTATACTCAATGCTAGTGCTAGTAGTGATACCTGATCCGGTGATGCGCGATTGCGAGATGCAGATGTTACAATCGAACGTTTTGTTTGAACCTCTCGAGACGTTTCGATTGTATTTTTGCTTAGCGAGAGATTCTTACCGAGAGGCGCACGCTATTTCGAATTAAAATTGCCGCTAAAACTAAAACACCTGTGTTATTCACCGATGGCATTCTTAAAGTAAATAAAATTTCCTATCGAATGGTGTCAATAATTTCTATAAAAACTATTATTTATTATTGAAGTTCAAAGTTGAAAAAATTGTCCCGGACTTTGAACATATGATTACTTTAATTACGTTTTTGAAAGAAACATGTACCAACAACCACCAATATAAAACCTTACAAAGCACAATATGAACGTACGTATATTCGTTTTAGGATGTAGTGTCTGTATGTTAGCTGTGTCTTTTGTTAATCTGGGCGTTTGATGAATGATTTGTGTTTTGTGATATTTATCTATACAACTTATCAATTTATTCGTGTTCCTTAAGAGTTTCTCGAAATTAAAAATATAAATTTACCTTTATTTAAAAGTAGTATTTAGAAAAATAATTACAATACAATTCTTTTTAATTTTTCCAGTTTATAAAACAATCTTATTAAATATAGGTAAAAATGAAAAATTTAAATTGGGTGGTGAAATACATTTTAAATGTGCATTTTTCTTCGTTTTCTCTATTTATAAATAACATTTTAATACTAGTTTTAAGGCATTTATGGGCTAGGCAGGTGATTTTAAATAGTCAAAGTTAAGAAAAAATTCAAATCCGCGCTCACTTTTTTTACACTAACAGCGTTGTTACAATTTAATTACTAACATAAAAAGTAAAACAATTTCTTGGCAAACAAATTCATGATTTTTGAGCTATATTGATATCATGTTGAGCTATTTTTGATCTGTTTGCCCAAAGAAACTTTGAGTAAAAAGTGTACACGTTCAGTAATCATCGCGTCTTCTGACGCCAAAATGCGTTTACCATTCTTTTAAAGGATTAAAACTTGTTTTATTTCTCTTTAAGACAAAATTTGCAAATACACTTACAGTACTGATCATGATTTAAATTTAAATTTATGGATATAGTATTAAAAATAATATAAAACATAAGTATCCAATCCAAGTACGGCACCCGGCGGCGGCGCACGACTTCAATGAAACTACAGCGTGTCCTCTCAATAATGTTTAATCCTCCTAGGGATTGACCCACAATAAGAGGTCTTACTTACTTCAAAACAGAGGAAGGTTTATGGATATTATTTACTTTATCTACGAAATAGTGACTTATACCAGTATACCACTCAATAAAAGACTATTCGACTATTGACGAGACAATATGTTTTACTAACAAAATGTTTTAATTTAAATCGAAATGTTTATTATAACTTGAATAAAAGTTCTCGTAAATATTATTTTAACAGTATTATTTACCATTACTTTAAAATAATTTTCTATTTCTTTTGGCATCACGTAAATGTTTATTCATATGTCAGCAGTTTGTACATAATAGTCTATTATTCTATAAGAATTAATGATTTAGAAAATTACATCTTAGAAAATTACTACCGCGGCCTGGTAGAATTGGCAACGTCACAAGTGGTGTTGTTTAGTGACAGACGTCCCATAAGATAACATGGCAGACAGGTGACATCAGCTCATTAATTAAATAAAACATTCAGAATTGAAAACCAAAACAATATGAATTAAAAATCTATATCTGTACATTTTAAGCGGAGTCAATATTGTCATAGTCCATTAACCAATCTTTCGTAAATTAAATACACAAATATACCATTAGCTGCTCCCAAACAAAACAGCTGTTACACCACTTGCGACGTTGCCACTTCGAAGGCCGCGGCCTGGATGGAGTTAAAGGTGGCCGTCAGTACGACGAGTATTAACTGGTAAGTCAGTTCAGATCAGACGGAAACATAAGTGTAAGCATAGATAAGATAAAACATACTCCCTTAGTAGATTTCTCATCCTAATGGAACAGCTGAAGCACGGCCGCCTTTAACTCCGTAGTTAAAGGCGGCCGTGGCTGAAGACAACTTTATTGTTAGTTCTGTACGGTTTATGTAGAGGTCGTGTTTTGTTTACAATTTGTTTCCCATTCATGCAGTCATTTAAAACCTCGTTTTACCAAATAATACGATCTAATCATAAACAATAAATTGTCCCCTAGTTATTTAACCAAACAGTAATGCACAAATCAAGAAATTTACCCTAAAATAATAGAAACAAAATTTCGTCGACACTAGCGCTTAGTGTGGCGTACATGAACTAGACATGAAAAACGAGCTTCCAAATTTACAATGGGATGAGAGAGAAGTCTACTTGTGTTGTTTAATCTATGGTATAAGTCAAAACAACCAAAACAAAACTCAATGGAACGTGAGCTGAGCTTGAGCAATGAGTCAAAATCAATAATCATTGATTGGTCATTGATCACTGATCAGTGGTGAAATATTGATTTGTGTTGAGGTATGTATTGAAATAATATTATGAATATGAATTGAATTGAAATAATATTTTACCCTGCATGGTAAATTATTTTATTGAAGGCTAGGTCTATTTTCAGTAAAAGATTCATATCCTCTGAAATTGGTTGGATTTAAAAATAATTATAGACAGGTTACAATACCGATCGGTAGGCCTACATAGGCACAGAAGACATAGGTTACTATACAATACCGGTACAACCCGTCAATCCTAGGCTAGGCTAGTTGCTAGTTGGACTTAGGGATGAGTATCGATAGGTCAACCATCGATGGTTGACGTCGGACCAAAAAATCGATGTTTTTTCATCTGCTTTTTGTACTCTCCTGTAGTGGAAAACATAATTATCTTTGGCCAAAAACATAAATGTTTAACAAAAACTTCGATGTAACAAAAAGAACCTACCATCGATTTCAAAAGCATAGAACATGTATAGAAAAAAATCAATGTTTCGAAAACATCGACTATCGATGCTCATCCCTAGTTAGACCTAGTCTCGAGCGACTAGTGTAGAAACAACAGTTTAATTTTCAAACCTCTTCCTTCTTACAGTCTTTTGTAATACACTATCGTAAATACACAAAACTTAAACATTTAAATCAAGAACACGGATCAGGTTTACATTGTTTTTTACTTGAACAAATGCGCGGCCACATAACGGAGTAACTAACCCTAGTCCTGGTTATATTTAGGCTAGGCCTACTTGTTACTTATGCTACTATTGATATAGCGGCCCTCATCGATAACCGCAAATCTTGGATAGATTAAAAAAAATTTTTTTTATTTAAAAGAGTAAGTTAGGCTACAGTTCCACAGAGAACCTGCGATATATTATTGGATGAATAACAATAAATAAGCCTATCGTTATCCATCCGATTCAATGTTAATATCACAATGAATTTAATTTTACCATATGATACAGAACTAAATGAAAAAAAATATCAAAAAACATTAACCAAGTTTTTATTTATTTTATTAGGCCTATTAGTTTTTCTTTGCTATTTAAGAATGAAAATGGAAGAAACCATGAATCAGTGGGCCCGCATTGCGGGGGGGCCTGCGAGCTAGGGGGGCCCTTTAGCCTTGACTGGGATTTTTGGGAAATTTTACCGGGACACGGACCCGCCATTGTGCGATAGGCTCAGCCCTATCATAACAATATTTACCTAACATTTTATGAAGACAATTTGTTAAAACCTGAAAGACCACTAGAACAAGTAGTTTACAACAGCTAAACTGACACTATTACTTGCCTGATCACTATAAATTCTCTACCAACCTAAGTAAGAATTGTCATCAGTCATGCAGGTTGCATCAACTGTCCTCGTGGACTGTGTGAAGGCGCTATAATAGTGCCGTATTTAGAACCAATGTGGCTCCAGGCCTAGGAGGATAAAACATTACTGTTAATCCTCTTAGTCCCCGGCGGGTCACACCAGAGAGGGCCCTCAATGCTGATTCAACTAAATGAACTTGACATTTTTTTTACAATCATATCGGCGAATTAACCTAGGTGTTAAGTAGGACACTAGCTAATAAATATTTTTTTTCTTTCATTGATGCTAAAGAAGGATTATCATTTAATGTAATTTCTTACTATTAACTTAGAAGGCTGCACTTTAGATTTGTTTAGCCTACTTTGAGTCATGTAAACATTTTTACTTACATATGGGCCTCGGGCCAAATCAGATCGGTTCAAAATCGGGTTGTTTTGAAAACTGTTGATTTTTATATAATTTTGATTTTTGAGCCGAGCAGAGCCTGGACTATAAGCCTGAGAGATCAAGCACAAAGTCAGAAAATCAAGCTCAAGCTGATTTTCTCAGTACTCAATACAATAATGCCCAATTAAAAGTAAAAGCCTTTATGTCCGCGAGGATCATGCTCACGAAATTGAAAGATAAGGCCTAGACGTTTTTGCCGCTATTGCAAATATCTACGACAACATTTCTCCGCGGGTGACAGTGACAATGTCTCAGCGACCGCAGGAGATGTTCAATATTTTGCTATGATTGCGGAAGACGATAAGGACGTTTCTTTTTCCGCGAGATATATCCCTCGTAGGTATTTTGCCGCGGTTGAGCAAAAAATGATTTCCCCGTCACCACGGATCACGGGAGATATTAGGGATTGGGCCGTGTACGCAGAGACAATGATGTGGTTATCTGATGATGTCATAGGTTTGGTTGCAATCGTGGTCGACTATGATATGCTACTGTAATCTTCATGCGTAGGCTTTCGCGGCCGGTGTCATTGGAATCCATGGTGATGGTTTTCGACGTGAGTCTCAGCCTAGCCAATAAGGACGCCACTTCATAGTAAGTGCATACTGTATAAATGCACAAAAAAGTGTTATTCAGCTTTTTAAATTATTATGGTTGTCATGAACAACTAAAGAATTTCAATTTTTGTAATCAAATTGGGTTTTTGTTTTATTGTAAAGAGTTTTCAAAGTAGCATAGTAGTTTGGCTGCAGATTTTTTGGGACTTCATGATGATTGCGATAACAGGCTAGAGAGATAAGGAGGACACAAACACTTACTGATGGAAGTGATAAGAGTTTGGACTTGATTTACCTTTAGTTTAATGAGCTGCAGACAAGCCATGTCAGGCTTTTGCAGCATGGTGTATGTAAAAAATGTGTGTTCAATTTGTTTCAAATAAATAAATAGGCCTAAATAAAGAGCGAAATGTCTCGCAGTGAAATACAATGACGACGCGGTTGACGCCGAAAAACCATCACCATGGATTTCTATGATAGGCTAATGTTTCTTCCATGACTACGGGAAGTATTCACGATTTTGCCGTGATCATGGAAGACGACGATGACGCCTCGGTGCCTCGGGAGATGCCGTGCCAAGCTAAGGTGCAAGTTAAGGCGGTAATACGTGTGATGTTTTTAAAGATTATTGGGAGAGGGGGGCCCGGCAAACAAACTTGCGGGGGGGCCCGCAGGCTCTTATCACGGCCACTGCCATGAATTTGTGATTTCTATGTGGTTACCGTATGAACAGTATCTATATTACAGGCCTACCCTGGTTTGTAGGGTTTTTTTAGTTTATATTTCCTTGTTCCTTTTACATTCAGTTACAGTCTAACCTTGATATAACGAACCTCAATATAATGAATTCCTTGATTTAACGATTTTTTTTTAAATCCCCTAGAACTCTCCATAAGACACAATGTATATTTTACCTCTACATAACGAACAAACCATATAAACGACCTTGATTTAACAAATTTGTCATGATCCCGGCTAAAATAAGACACCTCAATATAACGAATTTATCATTGTCAGAACCTCTACATAGCGAATTTAACCTCTACTTAACAAATTGTCTGCGTCTCTCCCTCAATACAACGAACCCCCCACCCTCATTATTGTTTTTGAAAAATCAGTTTCTTCATCAAATGAAATGGAAAGGTGATGTCAACGCTTGCGCTAACATTCGTCTGCTCCATTTATCCCTGTCTGCTGTCGTCGCTGCATGCGCGCTATGTTACAACTGAGAAAAATGATTTCATTCACTGAAAACTGATGACGACGTAATGTGTAGTAAGCTGTGATTGGGTGATAAGTAACTATGGTGACTTGTACAATTTTTGGATGAAGAGAATCCTAAGAAAGAAAAATAATAGAAGAACAAAGCAAAGAGAATAGCAACATCGTTATCTTAACATTCCTTTTACGAGTGTTTTTATTAATCTTTAAGTTGGTTATGATTATACACTTTAACGACTTATCTAATATTTTTATTATTTTCAATACGATTTGTTTAAACTAAGGCAACACCAATGCTATAGTTGATGATTATTACAGTATAGACATTCCTCTGTTGTGATTTAAAGCAGCACTGTAAGCCTACCGGCCTGTCACGCAGTACCTTACAAAACTCCCTACTGTTTTGTTCATTACAAGGTTTATTGCTATACAATACAGTGTTTAGCTAGGTTTTAGGTGAATTAGATAAGGTCAACGACTAGAAATGTCATGATTGCGCAATATTAAAGATCCCTCCCCTTTAGTAGGCCTACCCCCGATAATCGAGGTTCTACTTAACAATGTAAACAGTGTACTGTAAAGTATTGTAGCTTAGGCTACTTTAATTGTGTTTGTGAGTCAAATACCGACCTATATTGACTGACGCTGGTTCTGAACCTCGACTTAGCGAAATTCCTGCAAACCTAACCTCAATATAACGAACCTCGTTTTAACGAAATCCTTGATATAACGAATATTCAGTTCGGTCCCTTCAGATTCGTTATACCGAGGTTGGACTGTATTTAAGTTCTTGTTTTTTTTATTATTTGTTTTCATAATGTTCATAACATTAAGTTTACGGTATTTTGTTTTTGGTTAAATATTGGTATATTTAGAGGGTCCATTCAATAAGTATCGGAACTGTTTCACTATAGCCTCAAAAGAGCAGTGGAGGGGGGTCCAATCGGTTGGGTTTGATAGAGGGGTCCTTCACCATTCAGGAGCACTTTAGTGAACGCCTACGGACTTTTGTTGAAACAGAAGGTCGATATTTGCTCCAAGTGTTTTTTTCATTAGGTCGTCACGCCAACGTGGAGCGTACTGTCGAGTAACGCTGTAAAGTTTAGCTATAAGCTCAGAAAATCTGTGTCGGAGACCCTTGCCCTCAACATGGACATTTTGTTCACAATACTGGGACACCCAGGTAATAAGGTTGTCCAGAAAATTTGGATCTTGCTGGACGCAGTCCAAAATTTCTTGCGAAATCTCCACCCTTGAAATTTTTTGTTCCTCACTCAGGGCTTTCGTCACCAGCTTCTCATCGCCAAATTCTTCGTCATGATAGTGGGGACAGTTCCCACTGAAGGGCCGTTCTTCTCACTGGTGTGGGCAATGGTTAGACACCTGTCAGAATCCAAATCTTCTTTCACTTTGATCTCGTGAGCCTTGGTTCGAGCTGTTGTTGGGCGTCCGGCCTTCCATAATTATTTGAATAAATGAATTAATTTCCCATATCACAAAACATTTAACAATCAAAATAATTGTTGAGAAATTTAAACTGGTCACTTTTTCAAGTAGTGTGACCATGGTTACAAAGTTAAACGTAGGCTATATAATAATTAATAAATTGTTTAGCCTAGCATCAGATGACAAATATTTCATCCGCCTGCTGTAACATCTGGGAAAACTTAGACTAAGAAAATATTTAAAAAATACACATAAAATGAGTTAACATAATCTTATTCTAAAGAGTTGGCAAGATGACCTACATCCTGTTGAAAACTAAGCCAACTAAGCTTCTTTTACAAAAATATTTAAAATTTCTTGTATTTTCAATATTGTTGAAAGTTGAAATTTTGGACCCAAGTATTGAAATGAATAACTAAAAAAAAATTTGTTTACTTTGAGCAATTTTATAGATTTATTTGTAAAACTTCTTGTACTGTAAGGATGATTTGGAATTATATTTTCTCTATTTCCACTCCGGATGCAAGAAAAGATTTTGAGTTGTTCTTACCTTCTCTAACTTATTACTGTTTTGTAAGTACCTCTCCAGCAAGGCAAGGCATATTGTAATCTTGAATTTATCAATGCGAAATAAAGCGTTCGTAAAAGTGAGGTGTTACACAAATTTCATAGAAAATAGAAATTTATAATTTGTGATCTTAATTTTGAGTGTAGTTCTAAAATATGGGGTTCAAAAGTAAGTTTCTCATCAAGCAAAACTCCCAAGTATGTAATCGATTTAACTTTTTATAAAGGTTGGCAGGTACATATGTGGATATTGCAGATAGGGGAATGAAAAATTAAAAAAGAATGGGTGTCAAAACAAAAGAAGTCAAAATTAACATATTTTGTCTTACTAACATTTACTTGCATTTTGTTTATGGAGCACCGTTTTCTGAGTAATAAAAGATCATAGTTGATTGAATCTGCAAGGAGAACAGTATCCTTTTTGGTGTATTTGGGCCTCTCAACAACTCTTGTGTGGCTTAAAGCATCATCAAAAAATAACATAATGATAAAAACGTAAGTGAAAGAGTACCTGAATCTTACCTAGCCAAGAGTAAAAACCAAAACAGCACACTCAGCAAACCATGTGTTAAAAGACATATCTACCGTACACATTTTCTTATAAGTTTACAAAATTTATCCACACTATCTGTCCACATTGACAGCGATGGAATAAATAAATGAGTCATATAGGCGTATGTTAATGCCATAATTATCTCTTGTTGAAGCATGTCTGTCATTGTGAGTAAATCGTTCACTGATTAGTTTCAATCCACGTCTTATGTCAATTCCTGATGTCAATAATTCTAGGGTCTACAGATCCTTTCGTTGCTTAGTGCATTATAACAATTTTTACTTAGGACTTCATGCAATATGGCCTTGTCAAATTGGATGAATCTGTCAGAGATGGTTAATGTGGATGTAAACATTGAATTTTGTAGTTTAAATATCTAGTCCTTTTAAACATAATCACCTAACCTAGCCCTACTGCTGTAACAAGCTGTTAAAGAGTTGGCCTTATTCTAACAGAAAAGAAGCGTGCAGCAATACCCAGCCTTTAATCAGATCATGTTAATGAAACCAGAAAAAAATACTAATTCATAAAAAATAATAAGTATTGACAAATTTAACTAGTTTTAATTACTGGTGAAAGTAAGACAAATGAAAGAATTGAAACATGCATACAGTTGAACTTCAGAAGGTCTCAATAACGTGCCTTATTTGAATTCCAGGAAGTGTAGGTTAGCTGGGTTGCCTATTCCAACGTGTTAGCTTGATAAATAAACTATCGTATCTGTAACTTGGGTTTTCTCTCTGTTATTGTTCTTGTTTGTTCTGTGTAGGTTCTGTGTAGTTGTATATTTGCAACTATTTTAAATAAAAGTAGTACAATAGGGGTCTAGGCAGGACTGAAATGTTTACAAGCAATGTGCAAACGTCAAATTCACACTCACTGTACAGTATACAGTATGTTTATCAGGCCAGTCTTATTTTCAGCAAGCACCCGAAACTTAAATGCAACTCAAATTTTAATTTAGTGAAGATAATTAAATTAAAATATAAAGGTTTATTATATTTTTTTATCAGTAAATAATTTTGCTGGGAGTAAGGTATAAAGGGTATTAATTATTTGTTCTATTTACAGGATTTGATCTACATACAGGATGGCAACAAAAGAAGACCTTGAACATGAATTTGAACTCTTTTGGGCTAATTCAGATAGAAGGAGGAAACATGCCCCCAACAACCAAAAAATTAGTAAGATGCACGAGTGGGGTAAAACCAATAAGTTACCCGAGAAATCGCCCACTCTTAACGCCCTTATAAATGTATGTAGATGTAGTGTGTAGATGTGTTAGATGTAAGTAGACTTTTCAGAATGTTTTAGATTTCAGTTGGTTTGCACAGAGTAGGCAGATAATTTTTCAGCAAATTTCCCCCAAAGGGAAGTTAAATTAAGAAAGCTTTTACCGTAGATGGCACAAACTCTTTTCTTTTAGCGAATTTCCCATATAGGGAATAAGCTATTACCGTAGTACTCATGTTAAGACCTGGACCCGGGACCGATTTACTTTTTCGTTTTGAGGTCCCTAGAGGCCAAAAACACCATCGGTAACGGGGGTTTTATGGGGTAAAAATAGGTTTTTCCCATTTTTGACCCAAAAAAACATAAAATTTAGCAATTTCTTTCCAAACCATTTTGTAGAGCTTAAAAAAACAAATAATTTAGTATATTGAAGCGCTATTATGCTCCTAATGGTTACGGAGAAAATTTAAAAAAAATTGTAAATTTAAAATTTCCATGTTATTCTTATGGAGAATAAGTAAACTGTTGTAGTTTGCTTGTTTATGAACATATTTTGATCAAATTTGCAAAATGTTTTTATTTCTTACTAACTATTAACATTTTACAAAAAAAAAACAGTTTTACCCTCCCTGATGCAGCAAACCTAAGTACTTGTTAAAACTAATTCTATTTAAATCGGGAATAAATGTTATATTTTTAAGTAGGCCTAGACATTTCAGTGTAAATCCAATCAGTCAAATGGAAATTCGCTTAGTCTGCAGGTTTGCTGCGGCGGGGGTATTTTTATTTTAACTTTGTTTCAGAGCAACGATGTAAAACATGAAAACATTCTGCCTGAAGAATGCAACATAAACACATTTGAGAAAATATTGGATGAACTGAGTGTTGCATACAAAACAGTAGAAGTACCTATTGATCCCAAGTTTAAAGGCCTGAATACCAATACTAGTAAGAGATATTTTAAAGATATTTTTACACGTTCATTGCACATATAGGATTTTGAAGTCGAATTTGTACCATTTACATCTATTTAAAATTATAGTTTTCTCTATACATTGCATAGAATCTTGAAGATTTCTGGGTATTTTTATGTTTTGTGCTCTAAGAAAGCTAAAACGAATCCAATATCAATTTCTGTCTGTCTGTCTATTTGTTTGTTTGTTTGTCAGTAATGCCAGAGATGCCAATTTACACTCTTTACTTCCGGAAAACTGCAGAGCTGCATCTAAAATGCACAAATTTAGATTAATTGTTCTCGTAATTATCTCTTAATTATTCACTTTATTCTGTATATACTGAACTGGTGAGAATGTCTTTGACTGTCTAAACCTGGCCTAAATTATTTGTAAACCAAATAATGAATGACAAAAGCCAGTTTATAGCAATATTTATTTTTTGTAACTTTAACCACATACCTCATGTATCTAATGCTAATTGATTTAAAGAAATATTCTTCCTGCAAACCATCACCATTGACTAATTGATACTCAAGTAGACAGCCCATGTATATAGACCAGCTGTAAGCAATTTTTTATTAAAGAAAACTTAGTTGTGAGCCAGTAACAAAATGAGCGCTAGTGTCTAAAGTTCTATTTTCTACCTTATTTTTTATTGCTGACATAGTTGATCGGTCATAACTGTTGCTATAGCTCACAATAAGTTGTTCCAGTTTGTCCTGGTAAAACAGTTTGTGTATTCAACATAAAATAGTATTTTAGATCAGCACAATATGTCGGTGGCTCACATCAACTACGACAATTTTGATAAAAAACTGACGACAGCTTTAACATGGGGATGGAATGTCTAGTTGTATCAATATTCAAAGCCGTCACTGTATTGCTTAAATTAGAAGTTGTTTCCATGTTGATCTTTAAAACTTGTATTATGGTCACATTACCGTTTTATCAAAATTACCTTTTAGAACTTCATTATACATACTATACAGTCTTTTCAACAATATTTTGGGTAACTTTAATGAATAAGTGAACATAATGTTATTTCCAACGGAATAATTGCTACACAATGTACTTACGGACATAGAAACATAAAGGCAAATAGATAGAATTTAGGTTAAGCCCCCTAATTTGGCTTGTTTTCAATATTATTTACATTAAATTATTATCAGTCATACAAAATCCACAAACCAGTTTTGGTAAGTATAGTGTAATGTCAAAAAATGTTGCTTGCTTGAAATGGGAATAGTATTTGTCTATCATTTAATAATCATTTTAAAATTCCTGTTCATCCAAAACCAAGCAACATTTTGACAGCAGCAAAAGTCACAGCTCATGTAATAGTAAGATAAGCTGGTTTGTTAATTAATATAATAGGATTCCATTCGCCTAGTACATATTCCTGTTACAACTAAAGCTACTTAACTATTTTAAACAAAAACTTTGTTTGCCTTTATTACATGGGTTTAACAGAGACGGATTTGTACATATTTCCCCCCTAGGCACTATTCTTAGTGCACTATTCCCTTGCACTATTTCCCCCTTCATAGTATATTTCGTACCTAGGACCGAAAATGAGGTTTTGCCGGCTCGTAGTTTTTTTAAGTTCAGGACCAAGTGAAGAGCTGCAAAACCCTTTCGGCCCGTGGTACGAACGCCATTTTTCACCATACTATACAAAATTGAGGGTCTTAAGTTGTCATTTGCACACAATAAAATAATGCACATTAACAGTTAACACAACTGCAACTTATGTGAAGAAATAATCTATAAGAACCGGCAAAAATACTAATAAATAGTTGCTAGGCAGCAGTGACATAAAATGCATATGGATATTGCTTGTATATTTTATTTTATATACATTGATGTTTTAAGTAAGTAAGCGAACAGCTGGTTTTGTGACCCTAGGGCCGTAAAAACCAAATCGGTTCCAATGACGATGACAGCTGCCATTTCGGTCCTGGACAGCAATTACATAGCTTTCAGCCTCCAATTAACGTTTTAAACATCTTAGTGTGGTTAAAAAGTAATTATTTTTTAAATATAAACTAAGTCTAACCTATATAGAGTGTTTTTTTTACTGCAAATTATATTTTTAATTTGAAATACAATTGAAAAGGTCTACCACCTCACAAACTTTAAAATACCTAATATTGAAATACAGTACTTGAGTTGAATATAAGAAATAACAACACTAAACTTATATATTTTTACATAAATATCTTTGTAAAGTCTTCATTTTGTGTCTTTACATTGGTTTCCTCCTACTTTTAACTATTGCAAACTCATCTATATCATCATTGCCCTTTGACTGTCGTTTTCCGTCACCACCGTGCCGTCGCGGTCGCGCCTACAGTCTGCGGACTGTGGCAGCGGCGGCGCCCATAAGCGGTGCGGAGGCAGCCGTAAGCAGCGACACCCGTAAGCGGCGGCACTCCGGAATTTGTAAGCTTGTTTGTCGATAGGACAAGTGCCTTAATTTGAAAGGTGATTATGTTGAAAAGTAGAGTTTAAACGTGGCTTCCATTTGTATATAATAATATATTTTTCAAAACTCTTTTTTCCTTAATTCCAAAACGTAATCTACTTTCTGGATAGCCCTCTTAGTTGATTTGTTAGATACTGGAATCACATCTTGAATCTTAATTTTAAACATTTCTTGGCATGAATCCAATGATTTACTTTTAATGTATTCTTCTACAATGCTTACTCTTTGAGCTTGCAAAAACACCATGTTGAGTCTTATTTCCAATAAATTCCCTATGAGACTAAACCTGGTAGACAACGATGCAATAATATTTATCAGCTGATCAGGAATCAAGTAAAGAAACCAGGGATAAAAAATTTATGAGCTAGCTTTGTGCTTAAACAGTGTCTCTCAGTATTTGTAATTTGAGTTGCGTTAAAAAAATACTCTGTTGTATAGATTTTGTGCCTTCAAAGATTGAACATTAGCTCCAAAACTGTCTACAGTTTGATGTGTGGGGCTTTTGTACATAACATTTACTCTCAAGCTAAAATCACTTCATCAAATTTTTGAAGTAGAGTTTATTTTGATGTCATTAGTTTGAGTGTGTTACAAAATCCCGTTTATTTATAGGGACGTTCTAAATGATTTTAAGATAAAGTTAATTTAATGCCTTAGCTTAAATTAACCGGGAACCATTTTTAGTTGTCTAGAGGCAGAAAATTTCTAAAGTTAGTTTATTGTAGACAATTTTACTGTCGACCATAAAGCTGAAGAGATTAATTAGCCTTAGTACTAAGGTTATTACATCACTATTCAAGATTTTTGTGCTTGTATTATTTATCATAGATACCAAAGTTTTTTTTTTATTTTAAGACACAAGACGCTACAGTTTTCAGTGTTTATTTTATATTTTAACTGTGATGATTTTATGTAAGTTTGTGTATTTTTTGTTCTAGACAACGTAATGATAGACATTAGCACCATACCGCCTTTCACATTTGACGGATCAGGATCAAATAAAGTCCAAGCCTTACACTTAGCTGCTAGGAAAGGTATCAAATTCTTGATAGCCATAAGCAGTGATATTGTGATACTGTGAACCATTCCTACATATTTGAACTTAACACTTGTTGGACAGAATGTATGATCACACCAGGTTTCATTGTGAAATGTCAATATTGCCAAGTTTTACAACTGAGCTTTCCAAGTGCTGTAGGTTTTGAATACTACCTTGATCGTAGTGAATTTTGAAAACAGTATTGTTAGTTAATGTGTTATATCCAAATTTTTGTATAGCTATATTTTCTAACTGCTGTTGGTAGTGAATAATACGTTGAATAATAATTAATTTTGAAAACATTATTGTAAGTAAATTTTCCAATAGTCACCTGACAGTGGCCTTCCTTGCTCTGATTATAACACAGAAAGTTGCTATTTGCTGCATTTAATTACTTTTGCCGCACACTGTTTTTTGTTTTTTTTTTGCCGCACACCAGTATTCCAACCAAACAACACAACACAGCGGACTTTTACTAGGTACGTAATATGTGTACGCTTGAAAATAAGTTGGCAACAATTTTTACGACTACGATCAGCTGGTGCAGCGTTTCCCATTTCGTTCAATGTTTAGATTTAACCTAACCTAAAAACGTGTTGTACAGTGTTTTAAAGACTAATTATTTATATGTTTCATAGTAACTGTAGGAACAATATAATGTGTAACGCGAGTGCAAACTGCCTTTGCTGCACTTCGAGTGTGGAAAGTTTCTCGAGTGCAGCAAAGGCAATTCGCACTCGTTACAGATTATATTTTTTCTACAGCTATTATAAAGCATAGAAATAATTAGTCTTTCAAACACTAAACAACATGTTATAGGTTAGGTTAAATTTAAGCATTGAACGAAATGGGAAACACTGCAACAGCTGATTGTAGTTGTAGTATCTTTAAGTGTTGCCAAACTATTTACAAGCATACACGGATTACGTGCATAATAAAAGCACGCTGTTTTGTGTTGTTTGGTTGGAATACTGGTGTGCGACAAAGTAAAAACTGTGCGGCAAAGTAAGTAAACGCAGCAAATAGCAGCTTTCTCTACTGTATCAGTGCAAGGAAGGCCACTGTACCGATTTTGAATTCAAATATTGACAGATTTTGTGCTAGTTCCCAAGTGGAGTGTTATAATTATTGTTTTAGTGTATTTGTCGTCCTGTCTATGTGTATGTAAGTAAATGTATGTGTATTGTTTGTTTTAATTATAAATATAGCTCACGCCAATGTGCCCAATTTAAGTTGATCTACATGTTTTTTTCATTCTACAATCATGTTTCTGTAGGTCTGTAACGTTGTCACATGTTCATATAAGTAAGGGTAATTATTTTAAATTGTTATAACATTTCCAGTCAACCAAAATAGTTTAATTTGAAGAGACCTATAACAATTGTTGAATTTCACCTTAAAATAAATCATATTAAAATCATTACATTTTACTATTCATAGTAAATATTGTACTGTCTGCCAACGAGGTAATAGCATTCTATTATGATTAAGAGGTTCACATTTTAATTGAACAATAAAGAAACACATTTCAAGTGAGAATATTTGATTGTACAGAGGTAATTAAGGGGAAACAAAGCATTGTTCTTGGTTGAAGGCTAGGAAATGTCAAGGGTTACGAGGATAGACTTCTATTAACTTCAGTAAAAATCAATTTTAAACAAACGATCAAAAGAATGTGCAATTAGAAGTGTTATACTTCGCAAATCTGCAGAATATATTCCCTTGTTGTATTAAATAGTCAGCTGGCCAGTTGTCAACAAAAGGAGGTGCTTTAAGGAGTCTGGTAACCCAAAAACCTAAAATATTAAATAGTTTTTTTCTTAAATCCCGAGACTTTGCATTGCTTGTAGTGAGAATCATAAAAACAAAAAGGTGCACAATCACAGCCTCGCTTCTTTGAAAACAAAATAAAGAACCATCAAAAAACCAATTTTGTTAGATTTTTGTCAAATTTTCTCCCAATGTTTACTACATTTGATGAAATAACGATCAGCTGTTTGGATTATTTCTCACTTCTAGCTGTCACTGATTTGTTAACATTAAATATAGTTTACAAATACCGCAACCATTTCTGATCAAGTTTTGTAAGCACATCCAAACCAAGTGAGATTAAAAACGTTGTGCCTTACTTATCCGGTTTAATTAATCGCAAGTGCAACGATTGTTCTTGAGTTTTGATAATCGGGGAAAAGACCGTGAATCAGTGTTGTATAGTGCTGGGAAACTTACATTTTTTTAATCATCATCACCAATAGCTTACAAAAAAGGTTTCCACTAATTGATGGCGCTTCAAGGACAGTTGTGTAAAGTGCAAAGTAAAAAATCACAACTGCAGTGGGTGATAGTAAATGTGGCTGCAATCTTGGAAGATCTTTCTGATTTCGCTGTGATCGTAACAGAGGTTTAACTTACAGATGTAGCTAAACTTGCTTTTCCAATGTGTCACTTTTGGTTTCTACTTGCCTCTTTGTGCTGCAATCGCTGGACCATACCGCAAATCTTGGCCCTTAGCCTATCTCTTGGGTAGACCCTACGTAGGCCTAATTATTCACAACCACATTTCGACAACGATATCGGTACTTTTCCCTAGAATACATAGCCTTCGTACTTAGAAATTAAAACTACAAACGTCCAAAACCACAGATTTGTGCGATTGTTGTAACATTTCCTCTGAATGTTTGCTAGATATACCAATAATCGTTTAGAGATTACGTAATCTTTTAAATAAGAAACCTTTGTTTGGAAAAAGGTGGTTTCTTCAAACTGTCATTAATATGTCAACATTAAAAGTTGCTTATAAATAATGCTTTAATTGGAAATAACTTTGATTTTCGAAAACCCAAAACCAAGGGAGATTAATATTAATAACTTTGGTACTGATACCACATCAACTGAAAGATTTTTTGAGCAAACCATCATGAATTTTTAAAGCATTGCAGTACAACAGCTGTGGGAGCTATTAAAACTATGTCATCGGCATACATTAAAATATTTATTTTCTGACCTCCAAATAAACATCCGCCCTCTAAAAATTCTGGCAAATCATTTATAAATATTGAGAATAAAGTAGGGCTAAGATTACAACCCTGTTTTAAACCCATCTTGGACTCAAAACTACTTGTAATGCCGTTTTTACACCATACAGAAACATTGGTTCTATCGTAAAGATTTTCGAGAAGCTTGGCAAATTTGGTTGAAACTCCTATACTAAATAATTTATAAATTAGGGCCTTTCTGTCTATAGTGTCAAAGGCAAAAAAATAAAATCCACACATGTTCCTTGTGTAATTTAAACGAGAATGAATCTGCTTTACACTTTGTGGCTAGTTGCCCTGTGTTCAACGACTTGCGACTCTTGTATTTTGGTAAACAAAAAATACAATATGAGGAGTTTGTGGATTATTTGAATGGGAAGGATTGGGAGTTTTTTAAAAATTGCATGGAAACGTAGATGGGAGCTAGTTAGGGAATTTAATTTTTAAAATTTTGTATTACAATATGTTTTAGAGTATAAATATATGTGTATATATGCATGCATGTGTTTGTGTATATATCTATGTATATGTGTGCATAAAGAAGTGTTATTTTATTTTGTTTTAGTGCTCAGTATGTTGATTTATGTGGGACAATTTTATTTAATTAATATTGAATGGACATTAATGCCAACCCAGCAGACGGTCGTATGACCATTGTTGTATGTGCATGTATAAATTATCGCACCCATTTCATGTAGCCTACTGTACATAGTATGTATTCAATAAAGCACTTTTCTATTCTATTCTATTTTAAAGCATTGCGTTGTTAACGTATCAATGTTTTGTGGCCTGTGTATTTATTTATTTATATATTTGCCAACCAACGGATTAACAGCTATAATAGAGTTTGATTACAAGGACAGTTTGAATTGGTCGTAAATACTATAGTTATTTTTTAAACTGTAAACGTTGGTTTTTGGTACTGGTACTTTTCCTTAGACCCGATGGTTGCAGTAAGAATCATTTTTACGTACAAATACATCACTATTTACAACTTACTGATCATTAGTGCTGCGCCTTATTCCTTATTAAATTTAATTGATGTCTTACTGTATAATTTTTGCGTTTTCTGTCTGGACTTCAAACTGTTGGTTTATGCCATGAAAATGATAAAACATTAATGAAAGATTTTTTTTAGCAAACCATCATGAATTTTTAAAGCTTTTTGTTGTTAACGTATTTATGTTTTGTGGACTGTGTATTTATTTACTTATTTATATATTTGCCAACAGATTTACACCAATTTTACAGTTTGATTAGGCCTAAATACGATTATCATAAAATTTGACGACACTATCAAAACTTTCAAATAATTATTTTGTTTGTAATTTGCTTTGGTTAAAGCGTAGCAAATCCCCTAATTCAATTCTGTATTTGTGTACATGTATGTCTGTTGGTAACACATTAAGGACCTTATTTCTTAGTGTTTCGTGGTCAAGAAGTGAGCACCTTTGTTAATGAAAATATCAACCCGAATAAAGTGTGCAGTAGTGAGGTTGAGGTAGTATTTTAACTACTTTTAACCAGTGTGGAAAGTAACTTTCAATTACAGGCCTACCTTAGGGCAATGCCTCATAGATCTATAAAGCAATTCCTTTAATCATTAGATATAAAATATGGACAAACACGGGGTGACATTTAATTCAAAAGCATTCGTTTAGGCTTGAAACTGTCAGATATTGTATTTGCAAAGGTTTATATTTATTCCTATACTGTAGTTTTGCCAGCATATCTGGAAAACTGCACACTACCCAGACAGCACACTTTCTCCTCAGGACATCCCACGGATATTGCGACAGGATATGCAAGATATCCCATAGTGGTCCTATGGGCAACTTGGGATATCACAGGATATCCACAGGAAAGCCTAATGTCCCCGCCCGGGGATGTCCTACGGATAAGCTCACACGCATATCCGTGGGACATCCGAGGTCATCCCAGGGTAGTCCTCAGGACATTCTCAGGACATATGGGACTACTATGGGATGTCCCTGGGATAAAGTGTGGTCTGGGTCTGAACATAAAAAACACAAAATAATATATAGATTTAGTTTGAAAATCTTAATTATAAGTTTAGTAAATTGATTAAATAGTTAATAAACACAAATTTTGAAGAAAAAAACGAGAAAAAAGTTTTTGGCCCAGACGGGTTTCGAACCTGGTACCTTCGTCTTGTGAGCCTCTTACCTTACCTCCTGAGCTATCTGCGCTTGTTGATTATGGGTGTTTTCAAGTGGTTAAAGAGTAGCCGACAGTTGCAATGGTCGCAATACTTAAAATATTTTTGATACTACAGTATAGGCTATATATGATTCTGTTAATCTGTTTAGGCCTCAAGTAGTTGAATTGTTTTTCTGGTAGTTGGAGATGATACTGGTATTTGAATATAGATTATTTAATCACCATTAGATTAGCACTGTAATAATTGATTGTTATATGATTAAAATTAGTTATTTGTTGTTTTATTAATTTAAAGTTATAATTAAATTCACATTCCACACAACTATGATAGAACTCTAGTTTTCCTGAACTCAGTGGTAGTAATATGTCAGTAAAGTAAAGTCAACCCTTGCTAGCCATAGTATTAACAAGACATATTTTCAATCTGGGAAACCTTAAACTTTTAAAATAAATTATAAAACCTCAACATCTTAATGCGTGGGAATCTTATTTTTAGAAAAAAAAAACAGACCAAAATTATTTGTTAAATAATGAAGACGGCCCAATTATAAATTCAGAATTACTGAAAATAATTACATCAAGAACAACACTGTAACATATCCAAAATTTAAAAGATTAATTTTTCTAATATTATTTTTTATTTTTCCAATATCCTTTAAATTATCTGTTTTAACTTAGTTTTTTTTTTTTTTAACAAGTATTTATTTACAATCTATTCAATACTAGAATAATAAGTAAATTCAATAACCATTTTAACATGGGTTAGTTACACTCCATCAAGTGCACTAACATACAAAAACTTTTAAAAAGTTTAACTAAAAACGATTTGGAAGGTCTATTGGATTAACTCTTTTGAGCCTATATGTAGCTTCACTATTGTCGAGGAGGTTAACAGCCAGGAAATTTGGATGGGTTTCTAATTTTCTTTGGTATTTTTCACTTCGTTTCTTTATTTCTTCTTTAACATAGGGTAATTTCGTATCTTGATGAATTACTTTATTTGTGACAAACCAAGGTGCTTGTAAAATTTTTCTCAGTGTTTTCGATTGAAACCTTTGAACTATTTCTATGTTTGAGTTGGAAGTGGTTCCCCAGAGTTGGATACCGTAGGTCCAAATAGGTTTCAATATAATTTTGTATAAAAGTAATTTATTTTCAACAGATAATTTTGAATTTCGACCAATGAGCCAATTTAGTTTGTTTGTTTTTAAATTTAAATGAAGTCGTTTGTTCCAAATGTGTGAATGCCATGTAAGCCGTCTGTCGAGATGCATACCAAGGTACTTAACTTCGTTGGATTGTGGAAGCATGACATTATTCAATGTTACTGGGGGACAAGTTCTTGTAGACATAGTAAATGTAACTTGAACGGATTTTGTTTCATTTACTTTAATTTTCCAATTCTGTAGCCACTGAGACAAATCGTCTAATGCAGCCTGAAGGTTTGATGATGCCAGAATAGGATCCTGATTTGATGATAAAAAAGCAGTGTCGTCTGCAAATGTTGCAACCGTAATACCCTGAGTACTTGGAAGGTCATAAGTGAACAAAATATACAAAATAGGTCCAAGAACACTGCCTTGTGGTACACCTGATTCAATTTCATGCACATCTGTAACTATATCTTGATATTTAATTTGAAAAAAGCGTTTGGACAAATACGATTTCAACACTCCATAGTATGTATGGGGCAACAAAGTTTTAATTTTGAACAATAATCCTGTGTGCCAGACTTTATCAAACGCCTGGGCTACGTCCAAAAAAGCAGATGAACAAAAACGTTTATTTTCAAGATCTTCCTTGATTACATTCGCTATTCTATGCACTTGCTCAATGGTAGAATGCCTTCGGCGGAATCCAAACTGATGGGAAGGCGACAATTCTTTTTCATCAATTATAATTTGGAGTCTTTTTATGAAAAGTTTTTCAAAAACTTTGGAAACCACAGGAAGAAGAGATATAGGCCGATACGAGGATGCTTGATTTAAAGGTTTACCAGGTTTCGGAATAACAACAATTTGTGAAACCTTCCACTGTATTGGGAAGTATTCAAGGCGTAAAACTGCATTGAAGAGTACTGTAAGGAAAACTATTCCTTTTCTAGGAAGCTCTTTCAACACTTTACCTGTTATCAGATCATAACCGGGGGATTTTTTGCCGTTTAAATCGTCTTTTATTACTTTAGCTACTTCAGATGGTGTGAACAATTAAAATTAATTTATTAAGTAAATATTTACTTTTTGTACTAGTGTAAACACAGCCTGAAGATGGAAACCAAGTTTCTGAAAGCACTAGTAAAAAAAACAAATTATTATATATTGGCCTTGTTGAACATTTAAATTTAGATATACTGTACATTTCATCAGTGGTACGGTAGTATTTTTTTTCTTCAGTTTGTTACCGGGACATTACAGGATATCCAGTGGATTTTGTACATGTCCCGGGATGTCATGGGACATTCTGGGATATCCTATGGCATTCGTACATATCCCGGGACTTTACAGGATGTCCTGAGGTTAACTTACAAATCCCGGGACATTACGGTATATTGTAGGATATCCTGTGGATTTCGTACTCGTCCCGGGATTTTGCGGGATATCCTGAGGATAGCGCACATATCCCGAGACATTCTCAGGACATATGGGACTACTATGGGATGTCCCTGGGATAAAGTGTGCTGTCTGGGTAAATTAATATGCAATCCAACTCCTTTTCTGAATATAAGAAGGTTTCAACTTACTACAAGATTCCCATACGTAGAACAGGCACACAGCTAGTTGTTACATAATATTATCTTTTCATTTAACTGTGTCTAGTTCATTTTTAATACCCTACTGAATTGATGAAAAAAAGAGTAATCGGCTTAACCGAATTGAACTATACACATAACTTTGGTGATCGTACTTTTTATATAATCTTTTGAATTCAAACAGAGTTCACAATAGATCTTTTCATCAGTAGATTTCAATCTTCATTTTTTGCTATATTCTAACTTTTACAGAATTCACAATTCATATTAATATCATGTTACCAGTTCCAAACGTTTCAGTGAATAACGACAATTAATTGGTTCGAATGTTTCACTGAGATGCCCTGTCATTTAAAAAAAAAAAAGAATTTTATTGCTATCACGAACGATTGAAACGAAAGATTATCGACACGAATTTAGTACATGAGTGGAATTTCAGACCAACAATAGTTTGTTGATTCACATTTGACCCCTGGAAATTTGAACCCAGCACTGATGAACTATCTTTGGTGATAAGATAATGCAATCGACACACACGCGGAAATTCCCTCACAAATTAGCACATCTTGCCTTTATTTTTATTTATTTATTTATTTATATACGGCAAACACCATTTTACATAGCAATTTTTTTACAGATGGCCAAAGGTACCTAATAAAAGATGACGTAATAATACATTGCGTGTGACCATTACAGCTATCTACTACATACACTTAGAATTAACGAAACAAAGTTGAGAAAAATATGATTCGTATTTTTGTATTGCGAATCGATGTAATGTTTACCGTTGGGAATAAATAAATAAATTATAGGTAAGGTACCGTGGGGAATATTGAATCCCCATCTCAAGCGAATACGAATATGAATATATGACTGTGCTAGCTAAATTTGCATATGGACACGGCCGCCTTGAATGGATCGCATCAGCCGTCCAGGGGCCCATTTCATAATAAAGTACAAACTAATATTATTAGTAAATCAGCTGATGAGCCAATGCAAATCTAATGGAAATTACAAGTTACAAGTTGTAACTTTTAAACTTGTAGTTTATTATGAAATGGGCTCCAGGAGGGGTTTGTGGAAAACAAAAGTAGGAGTGTAGTATAAGAGCTTCGCTCGCTCCGCTCAACTAGAGTATACTAAAATACTGTACTAACAATAGCACGAAGACGAGCTTTTGATTACAGGATTTACCCAGTCTCTAACTGAACTCTAATAAAATCACGTTGCTACTTTAACGACGTGATTCGAAAAAAGGCGGTGAACGTCAGAGTTTGTTTTTATTCTAGAATCTATAATCTAGACTGGATAAAATAGCAAGTGCACGATAGCACGGCTCGTGGCATAATCTCTATGGTTTTGTTTGGTAGGAGAAGAAGAACATAACACAGAATGAAAATAAAAGAATGGTGATTGCTGATTGGTGAGGTAGAGGTAGAGTAGAGAGAGAGAGAAGCAAGAATAGCTTAGCTAAGTCGAGTGTCGAGTGCTGCAAACGCAAAGTGCAAATCATAATTAATTTTACTTTTGGTTGAGATTTTTAAAGTGCCAATCCATTATTCCTATTGGAACAGTGTTAATTTTGCGTACGTTTTAAGAACACCGACATCTGAAGAACCCTCCAAAATGCGGCTGTCAATTATCTCGGTTGTGATTCTTTATAACGCTTTGCTTGGTAAGTTGTTTGTATTAGACCCTAGCTTATAAGTTGAGGGGCGTAACCTCACACGATTCAGCAGTGAATTTATTTTGGATCCTTGGTATATAACTTAACCAAGGATATTATAAACCATCGCCTAACTTTTTAAATATCGAAATAGAAAAATGTAGGCCTAGCCTACTCTAAATTTGCCTCAGTGTGTCTAACTAGATTTACCATTATAGGCCTATTTAGTATGCCTAAATGTTGTCAGGTCAGTTTTCTATGGTACAAACCAAACTTGAGCATATGATACTATGCCTTTATATAATCCATGTTTAAGATAGGTATCTTATTTTTGAATAAGTTTCTATTTAAAGTATACTACATACCTAAGTTCAAGGTAGGCCTAGTTAATTATTTTGCTGAACTTGGTAAAGATGAAGGCAATAATTATCATACATAGGCCTAAGTTAACTTACTTGAAGTACAGTAAATTATGCAGGATATGGTGACCAAGAAATTCATAGTAATTTATATAGGCTATCATTTGAAACTAGATTTTTACCTGAAAACAATGGTGAAACAATTTTTCTGCTGTCACAAAAACTTAAGAATCTACGATTGTTTGAATTTTATTACTGTGATGCCTCGTCTGTTTTGCTCTGTCGGTTTGAAAGGATCGTCTAGAGACGAAGAAGAAACCTAAGATGTTTCTACAAAGAGGTCTAGATGCATTGATAAACTCAACTGAATGTTGATTATGAACTAGGTACTTAAGTTATACTTAGGGCCTAATCAGTTCTTATTTAGACATACTGGTACACTAGTACCATGATATGGCATTTATTGTATATGTTATTTATTTACACTTGAATCATTATGTACATTCTTATTTCTAAATGTAGGCTATGTATTTTCACGATTTTCACTAAGGCCAGAGCAATGCTATATTATTGTTATAAATGTTTTTTTCCATCTTGTTTTGTTGCATGAATGTAAAAATGGAGTTGTCCGTTGATATGTAAAATAAATAAACATGTGAGGTAGGTAAGTTGGGTGTTATGTGGATTCGTCACTGTGTTACCTAGAAGTGTTTTGAAGTTAAGTTAGATAAGGAAGTTAAAGTTTAGGTTATAGTAGACCCCCTCTTAACCGACCCTAATGGGACCGGACCTAGGTCGGATAACTCAAAAGGTCGAATAAAACAAGCAATCCCTAAAATCATAACATAATGAAGTGCTATTCATTTGGAATTATATAATCATTATTTAGAAGTCATACTTGCATTATTTATAAAATAAACTACTCTTATCTCCTTTTTCATATTGATAGAAAAGTCACAAATAAACACAAAACACAGTTAAGTCAAATAGGCCTACTTTCAGTGGAATATATTATTATAATACTAGGCAAGAGTCAATAAAATTCCTATTTTAATAACTTTAATATTGTAATGTATTAATTAATGCTTTCCAAATACATCGTAATACAGTACAGAACCTTTTGTCGAGATTAAAGATACAAGCGACCATTTTTTTACAAAACAGGACGTTTATTTATAGCCTCTCACTGGAGGCTCCAGGCACAAAAACTATCATGACCTTGGAGTTGTTAACCCCCTTTCCCTGCCTTCCTTACAAGTTGCGTTGTTTGTTTACTCCGGCGATAAGATAATCAGTTCTCAAAATCGTAACGCACTTTATGATGTTATAAATTTGCCGCACAGATAACAAATCAGATCAGATGTGCTCGAGCTACGAACGATGATGACAAACTGACAATAAGCTATGCTATATTTTTTGTGCTCAACACAAAATAGCTTATTGTTAGTCATATCCTGTGGAGATAGCGTATGGTTCAGTTCTCATCGCCCAGCGTGGGAGCGGAAATGCCGAGATTCCTAGAAAGCGGCGGTTAAACCGAGCTGCTCTCAAATCAAGGTCGGTTAAAACAAACTGTATTATTTTACGATCGAAGGCGGATAATCCGATTATCGGTTAATACGAGGTCGGTTAAGAGGGGGTCTACTGTATAATGAATGGAGTTGTTCAAATTCAAATAGTTTATTCAGCCACTAAACCATGGCCCCCACAAGGGTGCAACTCTGGTCCCCCTTTTTGTTTATTGAAGAATATTTTACAGCGGATCATAGATTTAAAATTCAAATAGCCTACATATAACTTAGTTATTACAAAATCAAGGTGAAAAATTAATATTACTTTAGATTTTAGGTTCAGTTATGAATTGGCGAAACTCACTCGACTTGTCAGATGTTATTAAATATTTTAGTGAAAACAATGTTAAGAAAGCTATGATTAGACCATAGACCATCATACATCAAAGTAAGGTTTTTTTAATCTATGGTAGTACCATGAAGGCTACATTATCAATGACGAAGGTAAACATGGACAACCTAATGCGGCTGTGAGTAGGAAATATCAGTAGAAAACGCTAAAAAACAAGATCAGCTTTTGAAAAAGGAACAGTATTTACAAGAAATGTTGATTATATCGAACTAGTATGTACATTGTGAGTATTACCATTAGTTTCATAATTTTTTGAGTTGGCTCTTTAAAAAAACTCTTTGGAAATTATGACTGTTAGGCCTATTTGTTATTAAATAACTCATGTAGGCATCCCTACTTTACAATTACACGATTTTGAGTAACATAAAATACATTAGTCAGATTATTAAATGAGCCAAAAACATTTGAATTGTTTTGCTCCTTAGTTAGTTCACAATCTTACTATTTTTATAACTTGAATTTTATTCCTAGTCAGTACAAGAAATCAAACACAAAATTGAAATTTACTTTCAGAAGCTTAAAATAAAAGTGGATGATTTACTTAAATTTACGCTACTTGTAATAATTTAGCAAGTACATTTTTTTATTATTGATTTGATTGGTCTTAAATAATTATTCCTTACTTACATTGCACAAATTTGTAAATGGTTGAAATATTGCCATGTACTATAGCATACTACGCGAACATAGTGGAAGGGGCCCCGAGCTCGATTCTGGTTATAGGGCCCTCAATCGAATGTGGGGGCCTTGCATTAAACATTACAGTGATAGGCTATGTCTAATATAGGTACATAATTCAATTAAATAAAAATACAATCATCGGAGATTGGTTAACAATAAAATCAAACCATGCTTCAAAGTTTAAAGACAACCAGCAAACAAAATTAAAGTTAAAAGTTAAATATACAAATCAAAACCATGCACATTTGGAGAAAGAAATCAATAATGCAGTAAAAAAACAACAAATAAACACACACCATGCATTACCTAGGCTAAATACAGGTGGATTTCTGTCTTAAAGAACTCACTAGAGTCATAGAAAGGTGTTTCTAAGAGCCAATTAAAGAGAACATTCATAATTATTTTACTAACAATAATTTATTTTCGACATATCGATTTTTTTTCAATCCGATATACCGATATTAACAAATTGAAACATCAGCTGCCAACTAAGATAAATAGACCTAATTATTGTTCAGTATCAACAAACAATTAAACAAATATATATATTGAAATAAAAACTGTTCTAAACCTAACCTAACTAACCAAACTTGCTGTAATATTTCAAAATACCGTTTGATAAGTTATCTCCCATATGCCTTTTCTGTTAAAAAACTGAATTTCGAAATGGTACAGCAAGTTTGGTTTGTTATATTATGTTAGTTTAGGCCAGTTTTATTTCTTAATCCATTACCTATTGTGAGTTATACATTATTTTTGCCTTAACAAGATTAGTTCTCAATTTGTAATTTAAATGCCAAAATGCGTTTGAAGATCCAAGATAATAAAACAGAAGGACTATTGATTGTAAGGGAAAACAAGAATATCGACATATCGAAAATAAATCATCAATAATAATGAATGTTCCCTTTAAGAGGAAAGTACCCCAATTAGGCCTACTTATAAAAGCTATGAACTTTTTAAAGGCATTTGCCTCACTTCAAGAGGCAAATGATTGAAATACTTGCAATCTGTAGTAACAGGGAAACAATTACAGTAATTGATTTACTCCTGTCGGTGCCTTACAGTGAAAATATAAAACCTATTTCTAGTGTTATGGCTATGTACATGCTGATTCCTTAGTAGGTATATTTAATTAGACTTAATTTCTAGGAGACATTGAAAAATATATACAGTGATGACTTTATTTTGAAGAAACAGTGATTTGGAGTGCGCGAGATGCTGGGTTCCACTAGGGACTCTCATCACTTTCTTTTGCAGAACAAGAAACTTGTCGACTTTAGGCGAGTGGCCCCAGTCTCAGTCCGTAAAGACAATAATAGAGTGGAAAAAAGCAAAGTATACAACACAAATGAAATATTTTGGCAGATAAAAACTCGGTCTTCTCAACACAAACATAACCCTGTTAAAGCCAGCACAGGGCTTTTTCGCTTGCATTTTTGAAAGTATTATTTATTGTTATAACACTATTTACAAAGTGCAAAAACAGTCTGGAGATAAGATAAATCAACAACTCCATTAATTATAACCTTAACTTTAACTTCCCTAATCTAACCTACCTTCAAAGGACTCAATACAGTCACGAACCCGTATAACAACCAACCTACCTACCTCACATGTCTTTTCCAACTAATAAAACAAATTTTAAGCTGTTCGAGAAGTTTGGTTGGGTTATGTTAGGTTAGAATAATGCCAATCAATCAAAATCAAGAACAAAATGAATTCCTTCTTAATTTTTCATACTCCAAACCAGTCCAAATTAAATATGTCTGACCCAGTGGTGTTTAATAATCTTGATTACATTTTAATCGAATATTTCATTTAGCCTACTTAAATTAACATATTTACTGTCTAATTGTGGGTTGTGAGGGTAATATTTACTGTAAAATGGCATATAATCAATCAATGAAATGTGACTTAGGCTATTAACTTTGATTTTATAGTGTAAACATTGATGTGCAGATCAACGTGCCTAATACAACATTAAAATAAAATTCAAACGATCGTAGTAGGGGCCTATATTAAGTTTTTGTGGCGGCAGAAATTTTTCTGCACCATTGTTTTCTGGTAAAAATATAGTTTCAAATGATACGGTATATAAATTACAATGGTTCTCTTAGTCACCATCTCCTGCATAATTATCGCAACATTTGTGAAAGTTTTAAGGCCTAACATGTCAACACTGTTTATTTACCTAGCCTATTTTATGATTTTTTAACAGTGTTCATAGTGTCCACAGTTTGTAACTTACAGTGTTAATAACAGTGTATTGAATAGGCTTTAATTAGGCAGAGGGTTTGGAAGATTCAACAGATTAGGACTGCAACTTATTGTTTTAAACCAAAAATCGGCTGCAAAGGTTCTCCACTCTGAGCTTGTAAACTGCGAGCTAGAATCAGATTTGACAATTTCAGGGATCCCATAGGCCTATCGAGCAAAACCGGCTTTCATCTTTTTTATCAGCTCATCTTCAGTCATCGTGAGCACATTTATAATTTCTAAATATCGTGAATAATAGTCTAGAACAGCAAAGTATTTACCATTCATAAAGTCCAAGTAATTGACAGTTATCATTTGCAATGGATAGTCAGGAGTGAGTGAACAACGGGGACTGGCGTCATAGCTTGATGCATTCACTAGCCCTAAATATACCACTCTAGTTTCAGGGTCTCCCGGTTCTTCTAAATGTCTAATTTCGTTGACTCTACTAACTTGTGTTGCTTGCAATTTTGATTTCTGATAGTCTACTTCTGGGCCATTCTGAAATTAAGTGGAATTTTTTGTCCCTCAATGTTTTCTTGTTTTCTACCCAAAAAAACTAATCTATATAAACATGATATTTTTTATGAAGCAAGAGTGTATTCAAGAGATCCCAATGTTATTTTATTAAAACAATTTTATGTTTAAGAGATAAAATCTGGAAAGTACACCCGGAATGTAACCACCATGGAATGTCCCCCCACCCATGTTATTCACTACACTGACAAGTGATTTATGAAAAAAATCATTGAATTATGTAACAAAATTCTCAATATCAGTAATAAAAGATATAACCTAGACTTAACACGATATTATAAATTTTACAAAAATATCTAATTAGCTTAATTTAAAGACAAAAGTTGTCCACGGGTTTGGATGTAACCTCCATGGAACATAAAACCTCTACAAATTCTCACTGGAGAGCAGCACTGTCCATTGTTGGAGTTTTGAGAAAGAAGGGGCAGCAATATTTAGGTTTCTGTAGATTGTTTTCTGCTCATTTTTCCTACTTGCTGTTAATAAACAGGATTTTATTTCTGGCAAGGCGAGTACCTTTTGTACTTGTAACCTCCATGTGTGCAACAAATAATGCATGTCATATGCTAAAATCTTCACTTTAACTTTTTATTTGGGAGACACCTGTTAGGCCCCGGGTACGATACGAGCAGCACATTTATAACGCTCATCAAATTTCCCTGGTTGTGGGAGTCGGTTTAGTCGAAAATGGCAAACTGTACTTACCCGCAAGACGTAATGCAACTATTGTTGCTATCTGAAAATTGTTCGCTCTTAAAGAAAAACTTGGGTTTTAGAAAAAAAAAAACTTAGCCCTTACTTAGTCCCACACTTTTCTGGTGTCTGAAGTGTTTTTTAAAACTTCCAAAATATTTATTATATATGGCTGGCCATTCCACAAACATTCCCTGGACTGCACCTCACGTATCAACAAGTATCGCACGTTTGATGCTATTTCCCTGTCATTTTAGGCTGAACTGAAGCATGACTCACCTGAGTGGTGAGCTGTGTTTTCGCGGAAATCGGTTTTGACTTGGAACCATAAGCGGCGCTGAGCCACCCGCCGCTCATACATATCGTGGTCACCCTCAACAAATTTACACGCAATTAAGTGAGACCCGATGTCAGAGCAGTGCCGCTCACCGCTCGTATCGTACCCGAGGCCTATTCTTGCAGAAAACATAAGCTCTGGATATATGAATCTATAGGTTAGGATTTATAAGTGACTGAACAGAAAAATGTAACCTCTATGGAGGTAACTTCCATGGATAATTACTATACATAATACAGCATATTATATTATATTCATTTTTGACCTCTAAAAAGGGTGAATATGTATTTAATTTGTTATTAGACTTTAAAAAATATATTAAATATTAATATTCTTTCATACAAAACCTAAAACAAATCTTGGGCAAAAATTTCACTTAATTTCAGAAGGCCCTTCTGCAACATTTATACCTTATACCATACATCCATCGCTGACCAGTAATGACTGGATAGATTTCGTCAAAAATGTTTAAATTTTTAATACTTTAGAAATGGTTAACATGGCAGTAGGTCATGAGATCCATTCATCACTTTCCTCAACAAAATATTCATTAATGAAATAGAGAGCCTTTAGTAGTTCCTCGACTTTCTTTTTAAAATTCCTGAGAGGGAGTGACTTTATGTCCTTGTCAAGATGGTTGTATAGCCTAATGCCAAGGACAGGATAGCAGTCTTTTTGCTTGCTCAACCTGCAGAAAGGAATGTTTAAAATTTCTCCTCCTCTCGTGTTGTAATTATGAAGTTGGTTTCTGCAGTACCAGACAGTTGTAAATAAATTTACTGTAAACAGTCACGACTCCCAAGTCACGGAACAGTGGTTTGCAATGTTCATGCCTTGCACTGGACGTTATGGCTCTTATAGCAGCCTTTTGAGTTTTTAGAATGGTTCTTGTCTCCGAAGCTTGCCCCCAGACAATGACACCGTAGCTCATTAGGCTGTGGAAGAGGCCATAATAGGCTAGTTTTAAGTAGGTATCAGTGACCAAGTTTTGTAGATTCCTTAGAAGGAAATTTGTTCTGGAAAGTCTGGTATCTAACTCACCTATGTGTTTATCCCATGTCAACTTGTCATCCAACCAAATCCAAGTAGTTTCACAGGTTGTTGTGGATTCTGATGTTTTAGACTGCCTATCAGTTCCTGGGTTCAGCAAAGTGTACAGTTTTGTCATAGTAATTACTTGTTGAATCTTTTAGCAGGGCATGGTTTGCGAGGGTGCTTTGGACTTCCACAGTCCCAGCATGATTCTTTCTGAGCTGTCTTGAAGTCAGATGCATTATTGTAAAATCTTGTGTTTTGTTTCTGGTCTGAATTAATATTGTAAATTGCTGCATACCTTTGTTGACTAATCATCTCCATATCCGCTGCTTGTTTGCTGATAAATTCCTTTTGCTTGCATTTTTGAATTGCCTTTTCAAGTGTTAGATTAGAATCTTCTTCTAATTGAGCTGATAAACTTTTGTCAATTATACTCACTACAACTCTGTCACATATTAGTTCATTTTTAGGTTCTTGAATGAACATTGTTCTGCCATTGAGCTTATATCAGCTAGAAAAGTATCGAATAGTTCATCTGGTTGTTGGGATCTTGAATTAAATTTTGCTCTTTTGTAAATAACGTTTCTTTTCCCAATGAATGTTTTCTTAAAAGCTTTTGTTACAGTTTCGTATGAGGCTTCATCATCTTCTGAAAGGTGCGCTGTTAAGATATCTTCTAGAATCAGGTCCCATGCAATATATCAAGCAACTTACCTGCTTTTCTTCAAGTTCATTGTCTAGTCCTGATGCAATTCTGTACCTTTCATACAGCTAGTACCACGTTTCCCGCTGCTCAGGATGTTTGAAATCAAAAGGTTGTAGAGGCTGAAACATGACTGCTGAAGTCCTATTTTGTTGAATTCTTGGTTCTAGATTAAGTAATAAATCTGACATATTGAAGAAAATATTTAATTGAAAATCGAATCAGGCAAATGGAAATTCGCTTTGTCTGCAGTTTCGCTGCGGTGGAGGTACGGTATTTAAATATACCTGTGTGAAACAAAATCAAAAAGTATATAAACTATTTAAAAATGGTTTATTATTACCTTATAGCTTAAAAATATATTCAAAGTCAATAGTTTCCCTAGCATTTCATGATAGGTTTGGATATGTCCGTGATTTCACCTATGCATGATCAGCCACTCATTATAATTGGGAGTCGGCTGTATCTTCTCTTACTGTAGAGAATTTCGTTGTAGCATAAAATATGATTAATTAGTTTATTTAAATATGTAACATGTTTTAGGTTCAGCTCAACGTACTCCAACTATTTCGTATATCTCACAAGAACAGATCAAGGACATTGGAGGAACCGTAGAGTTGGAATGTTCGGTTCAGTATGCTCAAGAGTATCCGGTGTTATGGATGAAGATTGACCGTAACCGTATCACCCAACCTCTACCCATCTCTACAGGCAGCTCTCTCATTATTCCTGACGGACGTTTCTCACTCAGATATGATACTGCCAGCTCCACTTACACCCTCCAGGTAGGTCCAGGCCAGATAACCTAAAAGGTTGAGAGAATAATTTTATAAAGAATTATAAAATTCTTTATAATGTTAATACTGTAGAAATAAATGTACTATTGTATAACCTTACCTTACCCCACCTTCTTGGCCATTAAAACCTAAGAAGGTTTTAGCCTCGCCTACGATGCCTCTCCACTCTTATCAATTCTTGGCTGCCTCAGGTGTAGGGTGTAGTGCCCAGGGCTGCTATATCCTTCAGTACCTGGCTCCTCAATCGCAGTCTCGTCCTGCGGAGTGCTATCCTGCCTTTTGGGTTATTCTAGTCCATAGCTTTTATTATCAATTTTATTTCCTCCACACATGTCCTGCCCTTCTCAGTCTCCTGCTTTTTATCTTTGCTATAACATCTGGATGGTGATACAAATCTCTCAGATCTCTACTTTTGCTAATTCTCCACCCTTCTTCATCTTGAATTGGTCCATATATTTTTCTCAGAATCTTATTGAAAAAAATCATAAGTTTATTTTTACACTCTTTTGTTAGTGCTCATATTTCCGATCAATATAGTGATAGGCACTGGAAGAATTATTGAGTCTTATTTTTATGGTTTTTATTAAATATCTCAGAAGCTATGTATTATAGCCACAAAACACGTCCATACAAAAATAATTTACATTAAATTTTAAACTAGAATGGTGTTTTTCTTAATAGTGGGGAGGCAAATGTAGTAAAATAATATTATTATACTAGCTGACCCGGCGAACTTCGTATCGCCTAAGTTATAGGTTTCCCCTAAGACAAATGGAGGTTCCTAAGACCGATGGAAAGAAAGTACCGTTACGTTTAATTTTCAAGATGATCTCGTTCGCATCGCTCAATCACGTCCTGGTTGAAGTTCGTTCGCTACGCTCACTCACCTTTAGGTTGGAGCTCGTTCGCTACGCTCACTCACCTTTAGGTTGGAGCTCGTTCGCTGCGCTCACTTGCCTTCAGGTTAGCTCGTTCGCTACGCTAACTCGCCTCCAGGTTGAAGTTCGTTCGCTACGCTCACTCACCTTTTGGTTGCAAATTAGCTGTTGTCATAAATGTAAAAGAAATAATAGTGCTGCACCCTGTTGGTAATCCTTGTAACTTTAATGCTATTGAACATCATAGAACAGAACCAACTTGTTTAATTGAAACAGCTGTTAAGATTCATTAATTCCATTTCTCATAAGGTTAACATGGGAAACTCCAGAGTCACTGGGGCGGAGCCCTTTTAAGAATTTCGAAATGGGAAATAGTTTACGTCCGATTCGCATACCTACAGAATTTACACACCAAATTTCATAACGATCGGTGAAGTCGTTCCGGAGGAGTTTGCAGACAAACACTGTGACACGAGAATTTTATATATTAGATTATGTCAAATAACAAAGTTGGCTCACCCCGAAAGGTAACCGGTGAACACTATGCTAGATGATATTGTATAGTAGTAGAGATGATATTTTGACCGGTGTTCACTCTGTATGAGTGGGACTCTCTTTTCTGGACGCCATTTTCCAAAATGGTGGATGTCAACGTTTGATCTTTGAATAACTCGAGCAAAAATGATCCGATTTTGATGAAATTTTGTATAAACGTTTAAACTTACATTTATTTGAATGAGTTCGAGAACCAGCATGATAACTGTCACTCTAATGTATTTTCTGTGCTATTCCGTTGCATTTGTTAAGAAGTGCAAAAACTTTTGAATTGGCATATAATAACAAAGCTAGATTATCAGGCACATCTCAGATTCGCACGATGCGTTAAAATATTAAAAGTATCGTTTTATTTTAGTTTTTTTTCTCCATGAATTGTATTTTGGCGGCCATTTTGTGGGATCAAATCAAATTTTAAGTTGCAGATTTAGTTTCCCCACCCTTTTAAACATTAAAAACGATATACTACACACTTTATCTAGCAAAAATGTTTTTAACTATTTTTCTCTGGGAGCGATTATTATTTTAATTTAAATACCATAATATCAGGAATACATATGAGGACATAGAAATACTAGAGCTAAAAGATCCGAAATGGCATAAAACAAGTTGCTATGCCAGTTTTTGCAATAAGAGCAATATTGATAAACATAAACTACGGCATGAAAAGTCTGTGGAGTTGTAATAGTCCGGTAATTAAAGAGAAATATATAGTGGAGGTTCAACAAAATTGTTTCAACAGTTTTTCGACGGATTTCATTACTTTTATACCTCCACACAACAACAAAAAAAGTCTACCAAAATCCGACTTGGTAATGTACCTGATATTATGGTATTTAAATTAAAATAATAATCGCTCCCAGAGAAAAATAGTTAAAAACATTTTTGCTAGATATAGTGTGTAGTATATCGTTTTTAATGTTTAAAAGGGTGGGGAAACTAAATCTGCAACTTAAAATTTGATTTGATCCCACAAAATGGCCGCCAAAATACAATTCATGGAGAAAAAAACTAAAATAAAACGATACTTTTAATATTTTAACGCATCGTGCGAATCTGAGATGTGCCTGATAATCTAGCTTTGTTATTATATGCCAATTCAAAATTTTTTGCACTTCTTAAGAAATGCAACGGAATAGTACAGAAAATACATTAGGGTGACAGTTAAAACGGATCAGTGTATTTATCATGGAGGAAACCCCAACTTTAAATGCTTATATCTCCTGAACCACTAGGGTTAGGAATAAGTGTCAAGAATAAAATACCCCCGTCACAGCGAACCTGCAGACTAAGCGAATTTCCATTTGCCTGATTTGAATTTAAATTAATTCAATTTGAATAAAATTAGGTTTAACGAGTACCTAGGTTTGCTGCTACATGGAGGCTAATAAAGTGTGAATGTTAGTAGAATATTAATATTAATAGTTTAGTATAAATAAATAAGTTTACCAAGTTTGATCAAAATATATCCATAAACAAGCAAACTACAAGAGTTGACAATATCCTCCATAAGAATAACATGGAAATTTTAAATAACACCTTTTTTTTCTCCGTAACCAATAAGGGTACGAAAAACGTTAATATAATAAATTATTTCTTTTTTTAAGTTCTTTAAAATGGTTTAGAGAGAAATTGGAAAATGTTGTGCTTTGGGGGCAAAAAATAAGAAAATCCCATTTTTACCCCATAAAACCCCCTCTCCCATGGTCCGATCATGCTGGTTCTCGAACTCATTCGAATAAATACGTAAGTTTAAACGTTTATACCAAATTTCATTAAAATCGGATAATTTTTGCTCGAGTTATTCAAAGATCAAACGTTGACATCCGCCATTTTGGAAAATGGCGTCCAGATAAGAGAGTCCCACTCATACAGAGTGAACACCGGTCAAAATATCATCTCTACTACTATACAATATCATCTAGCATAGTGTTCACCGGTTACCTTTCGGGGTGAGCCAACTTTGGAATTTTGGCCATTCGCCTCCCCACTATAATAAGTTTTTCAGTTAACGTTACAGAGTTACAAAGGCTTAAAAGTGGCTATAATCCAAATAAAATACTGAGCAACTAACAATTTTTAACTATTAATCATATATTATTACAGATTAAAGACATCCAGGAAACTGATGCGGGCTATTACCAATGTGCAGTAATAATCGCGCTCAACAACAAAATTCAAGCAGAAGTAGATCTGCAGGTTCGTAGACCTCCTGTGATATCAGACAACTCTACTCGATCAGCTATTGTGAGTGAAGGACAGCAGGTGACTTTGGAGTGCTACGCAAGTGGTTACCCTCCTCCGAGAATATCTTGGAGAAGAGAAAACAATGCCATTCTCCCCACTGGTGGATCAATTTACAGGTAATTCATGAGTCAATGGAATAGTAAAGGTGTAATGGTACAGTAAAACCCCTTTTGACCAAACCCCATTACAGTTTTAACAAAGGCTTAGTTTGTTGACTGTGATGGTTATTTTGTAGGCCTAGCGCCTGTACCGGTATTGTGGGTTTAGGTTAAAAGTGCTTTTAGACCACCCAACTCTAGATATAAGCCTATTAAATAATATGTTTTATTTTGCAAATCTGTTGTTTTTGATCAGTTTTAAAATACTTCCAAACTTGGGACAACAAGAAACACAAAATTGTTGTTGTTGCTGCACAAAGTTGTTTCTTGGGATTAACAAGAATTTATGAAAAATTAGTATATAAAACCAACAACTTAAGGTAGGCCTACTTCTACATTCTTGTAATAAACTAAGTTTAATCCAACTTTCACTTATTATTTACACACAAAAAAAGGTTAATTATTCACATCAACATATAAATTTGATTTAAGAAATCAAGGCAAAAACAAAGGTCCATTCTTCAATTTCGAAGAAACTAGACGGACAACGCTAAACTACATTTTAAACTTTCTCATCTCGTTGGAGAAAGAGAAAGACAAAAACAAAATTAAGTACGAACCACCGAACATACAAACAATAACAAATAAAAGCCCTTTTTGGTTTACTGAATGAATTCTTAGCTGTTAGTCAGGTAGCCATGTAGTCTCATCCATAAAAAAATACATAGGCCTACCCGTTAACTTGAAAATTGAAATAGTAGTCTTGCGCAATGTGCAGTGTTGCCATTTGTCACGGTGGTTACAGATCAAATGCAATATGATTCGTCAAAATCATGAGTAACTTACCCCAACATTTAACCATTGGTAATAAAAAATATTAATAAATTCATTCAGCCAGTTACTGGACTGAGTCAATCAGTTAGAATGAACTTGACTGAGTTTGAGGTTTGAGACGTACATTCAGCGCTGTGCTAGCTGATCTTCTGTTTATGTTGCTTCTGTATTTCCATAGTTCATACGAAACAAAGTCAAATGAAGAACTCTATGAATTAAAAAAATAATCTTGTGACTTGTAACTATTATTAATGTTTCTAATAATCAACATCAGATAAGGAAAGGATGGTTTTAAGGTACTGTAATAATTTTGTTGAGTCAAAATAAATCATTTATTTGATCCAGTCTTTATTAAGCTTGCCTTCTGTCTTCTGCTTAAAGAATGTGGATTGGTGGAGCAATTGGTGTCGATGGTTGCACCATTCTATCAGCTGACGATAGTGACGACAACTTAACCATCAAATACTGAAATAATCATCCCATAGCCTACTATTGATAATATTTCATGATAAATATGCCCTTTCAAATAGCCTTAAGTGAAATAATCATCATGGTTGACATTTTGAATTTTGTAAATGAGTAAATAAAAATATAACCTATTAACTTGGTACCGAAGATATCGGTACATACATTTCACCATTCTTTGTCTCGGTTCCTTTCCCAAGAAGCGGTGGAACCGACATTTGGCGTTAAGTACGGACCCATCACTACTTTTAAATTATATAGGCATTATCAAAAATTGAAATTGTTTCGTCTTACACCTTCCAAACATTTGTCGAAACAACCTTGGTAAGTTTGGCTAAAAATATGTTCAGCCGTTATTGAGAGATAGTGTTAGAAAGTTTGCATTGAAGCCAATCCCAAAAAGCTTTGTTTCGCTCCGTTCCAAAAAATAATTAAGAACAGGCAACAACAAAAAAACACATGTTCCTTCTTCTAATAGACGCTAGCGACTGCGTCTCCATCTGCTTCAGGAGCAGTGGTTTGTGAAAGACGCTAGCAGCTAAGTTACAGACGCTGGCGGTTGTAGCGATAGACGCTTCGTACAAAATAGACTAACCTGAAACAATGCAAAGCAGTGGGCGGCGATTGACGCGGAGTTGCACTGGATCGAGCGATTGAGCGTTAGACGTAACAGCCCCTTCTGGCAAAACAGGCCTTAACCTCTTAAAGTCCACTGTCGCGTATATGTGACGTAGGCCTAGTCCTGCCGCCGGGCAACAATCGCGTATACACAACCATGGCCCGTTCAAAAATAAAAATAAAATAAATAAATAAAAATAAAATCAATTATAAAATACTATAACTAAAATTTTATATATAATATGTTTTTATAATAAACATATAATAATGCTAAAATCTAAAAAAAAACACGGCCCAGGCATTTATATGGCTCAGACTTTGAGAGGTTAAATACCCTACTTTTGGGAGGTAAGGAAACTCCTCACATTTTCAAGTGACCTCCTAAATACATTTATTTACCTTCCTAACCTAACTGGTGTTAAAAAAAACACCTAGGTTAGATAGTCTAATTAATTAGGTAAATTTAGATATACGGTCATTTGAAAACTGTAGAAGTTTTCTTGCCTCCTGGTACGTAGTGTTTTTAAATCACTTAAAAATAGAAAAAGTGTATCAATTTTTTCCTAAAGATTAAAAACATAGTCCTTCAGTGGTTCCCAGATCCATAGCCAGGCTATACTGTATATAATCCATTGCGTTACAGAGGACACGTTCTGAAGATAAGTGCCATCCGCAAGGAAGACCGAGGTACATACTATTGTGTGGCAGAGAATGGAGTCGGCAAGGGCGCCAGACGTAACATTGCAGTCGAGGTGGAGTTCTCTCCTGTGATCACCGTGCCCCGACCGCGCCTAGGTCAGGCACTACAGTATGACATGGACTTAGTCTGCCACGTCGAGGCGTACCCCCCTCCAGCACTCTCATGGATTAAAGATGATGTTCAGCTTTCCAACAACCAACATTACTCGTGAGTAAACCAAAATTACTGGAGGTGTGCTGCAGACGTAAACTGGTGTATGGGGTTTATAACCATTATTTTTCTAGAGACCGTTCTATTTAACCACAAAAGGCTCTGTTGCTAGTGGTTAATAAGGTAATTTTGATCTAATATCACTTCTTTGAAATTACTCTAAATTTGATATATTTTACTGAAATTTATAGTTATCATCTCATACCTATAGTGTTGCTATTATTTTGTTGTGACCACAGATAAGTCAATTTGCCAAATGGTATCAAAATATTTCTATACAAGCAAACCACAATATTTAATTTATTCTCTATAAGAATAACATACTAAATTTAATTTAATTTTTTTTAAATTTTCTCCTTAACCATTAATTGTAAAACCACACTTAAATATAATAAACTAGGCCAATTTGTTTTTCTTTCTTTTTTTCGCTCTACAAAACAATTTGTGAAGGAATAGCAAAATTTTATGTTTCGAGGGGAAAAAATGGAAAATATTATTACTTCACCTTATACTTTATTCGAACAAGATCACAAACCAGCATGATTACAGTATATGGGAAAGGTGTTTAATTTTAATATTCTTGTAGTTCTTGTGAGTCAACAGTAACCTAATGTTAGACATATCTCTACTTACCAGTCATGTATTCTTATTTGGCATTTGGCAGGATTTCTCACTTCGCTACTGCCGATGAGTTTACTGACACAACTCTCCGTGTGATTACTATTGAGAAGAGACAATATGGCAACTATTCCTGCAAAGCCGCCAATAAACTAGGCACTGCCCAGGCTTGGGTTCACTTGTTTGGTAAGTTACTATGAACATGTGTGTTTTATATTTTTATTTTGAGTGTTTATATTTATATGTCTTTTTAAACAAATACAGTAGAACCTCTTTAATCCGAACCCCTGTAATCCGAACGTCCACTAATCCGAACGCCTCATTGCTGTGCTCTATACACAGTACAGTAGTTTTTTTATTGTATCTATACTGTATTTATTGATATACGCACCGTAGTTATTTCAATTGTAATGTATAGTAGGCCTACTGTTTATTCCTTATGTTTACTACTGTATTAAATAAACACTGTATTTTACATTATAAAGCATTTTTCACTTTTCCCTAGCTTTGCTATGTAAAAACAACAATATGTTCTGTAATCCGAACTATTCAATAATCCGAACTACCCCCGGTCCCAATTAGTTCGGATTAAAGAGGTTCTACTGTATTTGTTTTATACTTGTCAAATAGTGTTTCTTCTAAAGGACCAAAAACTTTTTATACTGAACTAGATGTTTTAGACTCCATTTTTATGCTGTATTTGTAGGAAAAGATTTCAGTGAAGTTGCTAACCGCTCATCAGTGATGTTGTTTGAGTTCAAGCAAGGGCCATAAAATTGCTCTTCATAGAACTACTTTAAAACCGAACAAAAAATAGCCCTTGGAAAAACTTTCTTTGTACTAATCTCTGAAGCGTGTGTTGTTAAAAATGAGTGTTTCTGATATGTAAAAAATCTTACGCCTTGGACAATGTATGCTTCAAAGCATACATACTTGTTTTTCAAAGAAAATAAAAATGCTTTCTAACACATTCAATTACCCTTTTTTGACCGAACTTGAAAATGTAGATTTACTTTTTTAATTTAATTAACACACTCCAATGGTTTACAATGTATGATATTTCCCCAATTATTGATAATTATATAATCATAAATTGTATTTTTGAAAGTACACACAAAAGTTTTCCTAGGAGTATGAGTATGGCTTTGCTTTCATTTTAAATCAGCATTGATACACCAATGACCTACTTTTTGTGGACACAATGTAGGTTTTAAGTTTGTAAGTCAATAAATAGTATTATGTAGTTATATCCTTCAAATATATAACATGCTATGTTTTGTATGTAGACTTCCATTAAGTGTTAAATACAATTTGCATGTTTATTGTTATTGCTCTGAATGCTTGCATCACTCACTTTTTCATTTGCTAGAATTTGAGTAGTGATAAACAATCCTTTATAATCTAGTGAATTTTGTTTATCTTCAGTTAATTGCATAGCATTATGATTCCCTGTTTCGCTTTGTAATTTAATTTTGAGAGAAGTCTAAACCATCATTTTTGTTTTGAAGCTGATCATAAGTATGGATAACTTATTTTCCAGTTAAGCTACTGGCTGTAACCAAAGAAAATACAGTTTATTTAGATAATCTATCTTCCAAAGTTTTTGTCCATCCAATAAATTTAGACAAGTAAATTTGTATGGCTGTTGACACCTGTAATTTATTTTACAAAATGCCATCAAGGTGTTGATGAAATCTTACCATTTAGTCTACAGTAATAAGTCCCCAATCAGTAATTTATCGATAATAGGTAATGAATCAACATCAGTTTCAATTAATTAGTAAAGGAAATCGGGAATGTTAAAGGAATGGTTGACAGTGCTCTCTTTAAGGAATCCCTTAAAACCCTTTTTTCATTTAGTAATAGTCATTAATTGTTTTTTGTGATTTTTCTGTAGATTGTTGATTTTTATAAATATTTTCAGCAAAGTAGTCAATAATTACTTATCTATATCTAGTCATAGTTTGGTAATTTGATAAATCAACTGCATTTAAGTAGACAGGTTGATCAACCTGACAAATTGATACTCTATTCTCAATACCGACAACATTGATCCTTAGGAGTAGTGTCACAATTAGCTCTCGTTCCACATTTTTGAAATACATTAGTTAAATGCATTATGTGACTAAAATGATGATCTAAAAAAAAGTTTTTTTATATATAAAATGGTGTGATAAAGCTTAAAGTTTGGTTCCAATAGTAGTTTTTAAAATTCAGGAATTTGTTTTGAATTCTCCTGGAAAACTTCTTGAATTTTTCAAACCAGATTTAGTAGACACCCTGCTACAAATTTAACTTTGGCTTGGCATATGATATTTAAAATTAATATACAGTTAAACCTTACTAACTCGACAATTCGTGGTCCCAGAGGTTGTTGAGTTTGGAGGTTGTTAAGTTATCCCAAAGCCAGCTAGACGTGCACCATCTGTTGAGTGTCGAGTCTCCCGAGTGTCAAGTTATTTAGGTTTACTGTACTAAGTTTTAGCAACAGAAAGATAGTACAAAATAAAAAACGTATCTATTTGTGATGCAGCTGCAGGATACATGTTGACAAAATTAATGGCTACAAAATTCAATTTTTACAAGTTTTCCTATCCACTGCGAGGTGAACTGGTATTGGCATCACATTTTTAACAATATATTCTATATACTGATAACAATGTCCAAGAATTGGTTGGATCGAGAAACGGTTAGAGAATTGACACATGCATAAATTTAAGGAATGGTCTTTATTAAGTATGTAAGCATGTAGTGATAGTGTAGTGATTGTGCTTGCTTACAGAGACCGTTATCCCCGTTTGCCCTCCTGCCTGTGGACAAGCTCGCTACTCGGCCGCTGTGCCTATTGCGCCTTCCACCGTATTGGTCTTCTTATCTATTTTCTACATATTTTTCAAGTGGTTTGTATTTTTTGTTTTGTTTCTAGTTTTAAATTTGAATCACCTTGTTTATTAATTTGTGTTTTATTGTAGTTGAAATATAAGGCATGTTCAAAATTTCCAAGTAATTATTAGTGTGTTTAATATGTGAATTGACTTTTTTTATGTCCGCACCTTGAATAATTTTGTATAATTTTTTACTTATTTCAAATTATTTTTACTGGATTTACAGTAGACTCTCGCTTATCCGGATCAGCCTTGTCTGGACTCCCGCTAGTACGGATCAGCAATCGTGATTTTTTTTAGCGGCACAGTACAGTAGAAGCCTGATTATCCAAGCTAAACAGGACCGAGATTACCATGGATAACAAAAAAATGCAAAATAACACGGCGGTAAAAATTATTACCAGTAGAACTGCATTTGCTGATGTGCATTTGCCCGGCTATCAATACTGTGGACCTGGAACAAAATGAAAAAACTGCTCGACTCTCGATAGTCTGGATTTTTCGTAATCCGGACCGAACGTCTGCCACATTAGTCCGGATGAGCGAGAGTCTACTGTACAACAACTGTGATCAAAAAAATTCCTTCCAAAATATTCCTAACCCACACAACTAACTACAGAAGCAAAAACAATGGTGTATATATATGTGTGTATATACAGTTTACAATTTTTAGTCTATGCAAGTGAAATGTTTTGCGCCTGACAGACATTTAAAACGGTGCTTGTTAGAGTCGGACTTCATTTCATTTCAAAAATCCCAGAGACATTAAAATTTTTCCTTTTTATTTTCGTCCAAACATACCACAATCCATACATTCAAATTTTCCACCTGTCCCTATAAAAAAGAAGAAGAAACTATAGCTCAAGATAGCCATCTACTAAGAAGTCCCCAAACAGTATGTGAGATTGTGAGGTATCTTAATTTTACTCATTTACATATTTTGCTACCTTACAACTGCTATTTCCTAGATTACATCCACTGTCAACAGTGCTAGAACTGTAACTGCCAGAAATATCAGTCAAATTGTGTTCCTTTTTTGTGTTCTCCTAACTTCCTTGGGTCTTTTCCTTTAGATTAGTTCAGGAGTTAGTTGTATATCCTTCCTTTCTCCTTAACAACATTTTTGAAAAGAGGGTGGAGTTCAGCTAGCTTTCCTGAAACAATTGGGAGTCAGGGTCTAATGGACAAACAATGTAAAAAAAAATATATATATAGCCTATACTAGTGCTAGTTGAACTCTATCCCTTTCTAGTTAATGTATAGTAGCCTACTTTTTGTTTGTTTCAACACCATTGTGGTTATTATACTTTTTTTTAGAATAAGGCACAAATCCTGTTTGGTAACTATCTGCCTCTAACTATTATTTATTTCATTCTTTCACAATTCCATGGTAATACTCTTTAAAAAGTACAGTGGAACTCCAGCTACCCGAATTACCGACTATCCGAATAGCTTACAGAAAGAATTTTTTTAAGACTTAAATCCACAGTAATGAGTATTGTTATTAAAGAAGGCAGCGTGATCTCGGTGAAATCCAAAACTTCTCCCACAGTTGTGTAGACATAACCCCCTCATCATCATCCCCTGGTCACGAAAACATCACCATCATTTTGGGTAATAGCCACAAAATGGTAAATATATCTCACGGTCGTGTGGACATCATCATCGTCTCCTGTGGTCACAGAAATATCATTACCGTTTTCCGTGATCGGGGCCTAATCTTGAATATCCGCGGTTGTGTAGACATGATTATCTTCTCCTGCGATCATGGAAACCTCATTATTGTTTTCCGCAATCGCGGCAAAATCATGGACATCTTCCCTGACCATGTAAGACATTATCTTCGTCTCCTGCGGTCATGGGAAATCATAATCGTTCTCCACCATTGCCAAGTTTGATTAGTGGTTTCCCCATGCATGGGGGGGAATAAAGCCAATCTGGGGAGTGCAGTGGTTAGTGATGTGATGGAAGCAGATATATCCAGACCAACCTCAGAACAAAAGGAGTCTTTTTTAGCTTTAGCTCAACCCAACCAAAATGTAATGAAAACAAATTAGCTTTAAGTATTTACCACCAAAATATTAGAGGTATAGTGTCATCATTAGAACCGTTAGATGTAACTTTAACTGAACTTGATCCTAGTATAGTTGTCTTGACTGAGCACAAAATGTTAACTTCAACTTTCCCAAGACTAAATATTAATGGCTACAACCTCGTTGCCAGTTTTGGTCGCAAAAAGTCTAGAGGTGGCGGGGTTGTAATTTTATCAAAACCATATATTCATTGCAAAGAAATTGTTTTGTCTGAAATCCAAGACCTTATATCTGAAAATATTTTTGAATGTTGTATGATAGAGGTAGATAAGGTAATTAAAGGCGGTAAATTACTCATTATTGGTTGTTACAGGAATCCTATTAAACATAATGAAGCAGAATTTATTCGCAGACTAAATATAATGCTTGAAGTTTTCAATTTTAAATATAAACACGTGGTTTTCATGGGGGATATAAATATTGACTTATTACAATTGAATAATAGTAATAGTAAAATGTTATTAAACATTGTAGTAGCAAATGGATTTAAGTCTCTGGTTGATTTTCCAACCAGGATTACTGAATCAACTGAAACAGCAATAGATCATGTTTTTACAAATTTAGACAGCCAATTTTATAAATTAGTCGGTATTAACACACAACTTTCAGACCACGATGGACAAATTCTAGAAATTATAAATAAACATAAAAATCAAATGTTAAATAATTCTTCTCAATTTTATTATGAATTCAAAAGAAAATTCAGCGACTCCAATATTGAACAATTTATTAATATTTTACAAAATGAAACTTGGTTAGATCTTTTCTTATCACCGGTTGAAAATAAGTATGACATATTTCATAAAACTTTCATTGGTCATTTTAATGAATGCTTCCCTAAAACTCTTTCAAGACAGCACACTAAAAAGAAATGGATTTCTAAGGAACTTAAGACAGAAAGACAGGAAATTATTGATTTAAGTAAAACAGCGAGAGATATTAAATCCAAAGTTTTGTTGGACAAAGTTAAAAAAATGAACAAACATTATAAAGAAAAATTAAAATCTTCAAAAAAAGAATATTACAAAAAGAAAATTAGTAATTCTAGTAATGTTAATAAAACATCTTGGATGATAATTAATTCTGAAGTAGGAACTGGCTCTTTAAAAACTGAAAATATAAATTTAAAAATAAATGATTATGTTTGTTCTGATCCTTTATTGATTTGTAATCAGTTCATTGATTATTTTGCAAATATTGTGGATGACAGTGTCTTGTCGAATCTAGAGAAAGCCAGAGATGATCATAGCAGTAGTAATACTGGGAGTGAGATACTTCCATGTGACAGGAAATTTGGTTTTAGCTTTGTTGATGAGAAGGACATAGATGCTATTATCTGTAGCCTAAAAAATTCTTTCAGTATGGGGTATGATGATGTCCCTGTGGTACTTCTAAAAAAAGCGAAATCAGTCTTACTAAAACCTATTACTCATCTTATAAATTCTTCCTTAATTTCAGGTATTTTCCCCAACAAACTTAAGATTACAAAATTGAAACCACTCTTCAAAAAAGGTGACAAGAAAATTGTATCAAACTATCGCCCTATAGCATTGTTACCAGCTATCTCAAAAATTTATGAAAAAGTAGTTTATAATCAACTGGTAAATTTTTTGGAAAAAAATCATCTATTTGAGGACTGTCAACATGGCTTCCGCTATGGTCGGTCTGTTATTACAGCTGCCACAGACTTCATTGAATCTGTTATAGATAGTCTAGACAATAAAGGTAAAGTTGCGGGTTTATTCATGGACATTAGCAAAGCCTTTGATTCAATATCACATGATTTATTAATTTTGAAATTGAGTAAATTAGGAATTAAAAACAATACTTTAAACTGGCTAAAATCTTACCTTCATGATAGAAAACAGTTTGTCGAAATTATTTACCATAACAACAAAAATTATAAAATCCCTTATCGTTCCGATATTACAGCAGTTAAATATGGGGTGCCACAGGGATCCATTTTAGGTCCCCTTTTATTTATTTGCTATTTAAGAGTCTTCCCTCAGCTTTCTGATTTCAGTAAACTTTGTCTTTATGCTGATGACACCAATTTGAAAATCACTGCATCAACCGTTGCTGAATTAGAAATTAAAATTAATTCCGACCTAACTCTCTTAAACAAATTTTTTAATGCCAACAATTTGCTTTTAAATCCTGAAAAAACTAATATTATTTGTTTTAAAACTCGATCAGCTCAAAATATAACTCAACCTAATGTTACCATATTTGATCAAAAAATTGAGGTTAAAGACAGCATAAAATTTTTAGGATTAGAAATAGAAAGTACACTTAAATGGAACCGTCATGTTGAACAATTACTCACTAAAATTTCTTCTGGCCTTTATGCATTGGTTAGGTTGAAAAATTTTTGTGAAAAAGAATCTCTAAAAGTTGTTTATTTCTCTTACATCCATTCAGTGATATCATTTGGGCTATCTCTTTATGGTGCAACTACTAAAGAAAACTTAAACTCTATCTTGATAATGCAAAAAAAAGCCATTAGAATTATTCGTAATTTACAACCCAGAACTTCAGTTAAAGATTATTTTAAATTAGAAAACATAATGACTGTTTATGGAATGTATGTTTTTGAAACTGTTTTATCCATAAAAAATAGATTTCAGGAATTGGAGCTAATCGGTAACAATCATGAATTTAACACCAGAAATCGGGGCTGTATCGCAATGAGCTATCACACTCTGGAACTTTTCAAAAAGAAACCTAAATATGCTGGTTCAAAATTTTATAACAAAATTCCAAAAAGCATAACAGATGAGGTGTCAACCAAAAAATTCAAAATTAAATTGAAGCAGTACCTCATCAGCAAAGCTATATATTCTTTCGATGAGTTGTAGGAGGTAATGTCAAACTTTGCATAGCCTATATTGTTAATTCTAAGAAACCTTTGTTTTTCATTTTTCAATACCTGTATATTTGACACTATTTATGTATGTATTGTATACTACTAACAAATAAAGATTATTTGAATTTGAATTTGAATACACAGCAACTGTGTGATATTATTGTCAAGCCCAGGTACAGACAGACCAATGAGAACATAATACTTAACAATGATACTGAAACCAAACCAACCAACGTATAGACAATAAAAATAACGAAAAATCCCTTATGTAAATTGTTAACAGAACTTCTGTAACCATTGGTATTCTTGATAGCGCTTTGCAAATTTAGTTTTATTATTATTTATCATTATTTCACTTAGCCTTCTCTGATCTGGGTCTTCTCTTCATTTCTCTCCAGCTTCTTAAAGTCCAGTTGTACCCAATCCTTCCACTGAAGAATGACAGATAGAAACTATGACTACATCCCATATAAATTCAACATAATTAATGAAAATTCATAATCAGAATCTCGTTTTCATAATTCCAAACAGTTCATTAACATTTCATAAAAAAATTGTTTCTGTTCAAGTTTTCTTTAGAGTTTATATATACACATTAGGTAATGGTTGAGATTGATCATTACATTTAATTTATTTGTTGGCGTGCTTGTTTATTCAAGTGCACTAATAATTATTTTATTATATTAAGTCATGATAAATTGATAAGATTTATCCAGCCACCGCTGTAATATTTTGATTGTTTTTTTATCAATAAATGATTTCCTTTGATAACCATGAAACAAGAAAAAGTAATAATTTGCAGTTCACAAAATGTTTGAATAAACAAAGAAAAAAACATGTTATTTTGTTTAGTGAATAGTATATTTTATATTGTATCCATAACTATAAGGTTGTAGGTGTAATTTGTATCTTCTTTTCCCAAATAAAAATTCATAAAGAGCGCTAAGTTTTCCAAGGTAAAACATAGAACACAATTACTTTACTAGGGAGTCGCTGTACTCGCTGATTGGAAGAGACGGAAAGATCCTGGTACAATAAACTCCAAAACTTCACAATATACTTTTGTGAATTGTGTAAAGAATAGACCCTCCCCATTTAGGATATTTGCTATCTCGACAAAGGCCTTAAAAAGTAAGTTTTACTTATTAACTACTTGATTTATGATTGCATTTGTTTTTTGCAGAAATCCCATTGCCGAACATCAACTATCCTGGCCTACTCACTGCGGATAACCACATTTCTAGAATCACTTCTTCTCCCTTGATCCTTGCTGTAAGTGCTTTCCTTCTAGCAGCTCTATTTTAAGCAAACTCTGTACAAATTGATTATCAACATTTATTTCTGTTCGGTGTATACAGGTTTTTATTTTATTTAGCAATAAGACTTAGATCTGAGTTTTGTTTACTTTTTTGTATACTATGTTATTTTATATTACTTATATTTTAATCATTCCATTTAGCACCTGACGTACTTTTAAAGATTACTTACTTTTAAGTAGGCTAGCCAATTTTGAGTTCCAAAATTATAGATCTGTACCAACATTTTCAGAGTTGGTAGTGTTTTAGTCAAAAGATTTTCATTATTTCTGTCTAACTGTTGCTTGTCTTTTGAGCAGTTTGTTTCTGTATTTGTCATCTTTTTGACAAGTGTGTTTTGTATTCAGTATTATTATTGACAAATTGTATTGGAAAAGAATAAATAAGTGTTTTTATATTGATATTACCTTGATTAGATTATTATCCAACTTAAGACATTGCATCTTATTCCACAATGAATTTACATTCCACTAGTATCAATGAACTTATATTCGCGCAATTGTTTTTTGATACATTTGATATTTTACAACCCTCAGTGTAATGTCACATTTATATATTCAGTACAATACAAAGTTATTAGGGTTAAACACTTTTTTTAAGTATTTTTGTATGCACATTCCAGGTATTTACTACGTCACACGTTTTACCTGCAATGTTACTGTAGTATTCCAGAAAGTTACTATTTTTATAAAACCTACTAACAGTGTTTTGGAAAATATTTACAAATCTTTATACAATGTCATACAAATAACTTGCAAGTAGGGAATTACCAATGGCAGCATGTCCACATTTATATGAGGTAATAATAAATAAAAGACAGCAGTTTATAAAAATTGAATAATGTTGTAATATTTGTACATTCATAATTTTTTCTTTTATTTATTTTTTCCTTTTTTGTAATATGCCAATGAAAATTCAAACAGTTATCGTAAAGATAATCCATTTAATCGAGACTGATTTTTAATTGGAACAAAACTTATGTTTAACCCTTAAGAAGTGTAATGCATAGTCTTTGCATTTTGAGTATTACCAAAACTAATCAGTCACACATAGCAAAAAAAAACTCTCTGAATCAAATCTGTCACAAAACTATTATAATAAGTAAATTTAGTACAAAATTGACTTTGTATACATTACTAATCCGTCCCTATGATTTAAAAAACAGTATTTATTTATTTAAGACTCATTTTAACTTTTTATTTGATCATTCAATGTGATATTTTTACATCACTTTGTAGAACAAAGCAAAATAATGATCAACTTTTTATATATTCTTATTATATACATTTTATATATTTTATGTTCTGTTTAATACTCGCTGAAAGTCCTAACAGCATATTCAACTCTTACAAACACTTTTGCACTTATTTTGTGACTTGTCAACAAAACATAAACACAGCAATTTATTGGTGGGGTATTAAAGAGCGAAAATGATTTCCAGCACTCTTTAGTTACCATCTTATCACTTAAGTTGTACCGAGTATGACATGATATCATTCTTAGAACCACAACAATATTAGTGTATAAGCCACACTTATTTGAACAAAATTTATAAAGTAAGTGAATCTTGTAATAGTTTGTTAAAGATCGAGAGTAGTAAACTATTTCATACTTATCCACAGTGATTTGTATTTTAGTGAAAAGTCATATTATTAGGCTTGTCACTTTTATAAATAAATACAGTCAAATACTGTACATATCAAGGGAGCACATTTTAATGGACAAATGGTTGGCATTCATATCAAAGAATTCTTAATAGTAAAACATGGTAGAAATTTACCTTACTCATCAATATTGAAAGTTTGACCATAGTTTGATACCTGATTACCCGGATTAACCACAAAAATGTGTGTTATCTTGACCCCTAAATGGTTTAATATTTAATTTCCCTCAATGATGTCTCTGCAATAGTAGTGTTATTACTAAATGTGAAAACTGTCTTAACAAGTCTTACCTAAAATACCGAAGTTCAATTTAAACAATCCCCAAACAAATCTTCCTTTTGCAAATCAACACTTTTGCTACTGTATTTCTAATGGGTATCAATATCAGTTGATTGTTGTAGCCATATGGGAAAAGGTCTGTAACAGTGCCTATACATTTGCAGAAGGTGCTTTTCAGTGCCTAGCAATAATATCTGCCAAACCATTGCCACAGTGAGTTTCTGAAACAAAACAATTTACGTACTTTGAGTATTGGAAACCTACCCAGTTTTCTTAATGCCTGTAAAATACTTTTTCACTGATAATAAAAAACTTGTAAAACCACATAAATAGTTATGCAATCATATTTTAATCTAATGTATAATTTTAAAATATAACTTATAAATTTGTTATTTTAGTTTAATATCGAGCATGATATTGATTTATTTACACAATAAATAACTTACCCTGGGAAAAATGCACAATCTTGCTCTTTGCTGCCAATACATGTCACATTGTTAATTTTTGCAGCTTGGACCCAAGTCAAACCACCAAAGTGCAGTTTAATGTTTTAATGTAGCTTTATCTACAGTAGAGAGTCAAAAATCCGAGCCAATTGGGACCGTAGGTAGTTCAGATTACCGATTTGTTTGGATTTTCAAACATAGCCTAGAAATGCCTAATAGACACAAAATTAGGCCTACAGTATTAAAAATACAGATTCAGTATTATTATTGACGAATTGTATTGGAAAAGAACAAATAAGTGTTTTTATATTGATGTTAACTTGATTAGATTATTATACAACTTAAGACATTGCATCTTATTCCACAATGAATTTACATTCCACTAGTATCAAGTACTTTTCATTATTTAATGAAATAAAAATAATGGTTTTTGTACTTAGGTATTTTTGTTATATTACTGTAATTCGTTTCTTGAAAAAAATATGAAGAGCTTATACATTGGAAACGAACAAAACACAGACTGGATCTGTTGTCTCTGTGCTAATTCAATATTTCAAAACCCTCAGGAGCGGTTAAGATTTTTGACGTTTCGGATTTTCGACTCCCTACTGTAAATGGATTCTGAAAAGAACTACATTTTTTTATTATTGATTTAACTTTTTGTGAATGATTTGAACATTTGTGTAAAATTTTCTTTCCCATTGTTATGTTGTCTCACTAATTTAGTCAACAGATTTATTTATAAGGCAATGTATTTATATTGTAAATGTGTTTTAATGTATTCAGATAAGCTTTTTGGTATTGTAAATATATCTTAAAAACAAATAAGGATTTATATGTGTCTAAAACCGTATACTTAATGTTCTGAGTTAAGTACTTTGAAACCAATGAGAATACTCAGCCTATTTACTTAAAAAATTAGCATTTACCCTAGTTAAAGATATACAACATAAAACAAGCACTTGTTATATGTGCCACGATTAAACTCTTTCAATTATATTTTTTGTCCTGACTTCTGTAAGTATAACACTTACAAATTAATAGTTTAATACCATTTATTAAATTGGGTCCATTCCATTTTGACCAATGTTTAATCTTGTCAATCTTCAAAGTGAATCAGCTGTGTATTCAAGGTTTGTAATTCAGTATTGAAATTTGTGTCGATCTGTAAAACAAAATGGTTTTTATTGTATTGATTTTACTCTCAAATAAATTTTTCACGAAAAATATGTTTTAATAAATATTTGTTAAATCCTTGAACCTTTTTTTTGGGTTTAGCATTCTTTAATCATCATTTTAATGTTGTTGATGTTATTTTACTTTTTATTCTACACTGCACACTTGTACAATATCTAAAATTTTATACGTAGGGGGCACCACTGTGTTGGAACTAGTTGCTGAGTGCAATGTATGTCAGGAAGCCACAAAAGCCTTAGCTGAAGTACAAAAACCTTCAGGAATACAATCTGTAAATAACATAAATAAGTAGCAAGGAGTACACCACCCCTGCTATCACTGGTCCAGTTAGTTCTGTCACATCTGAATATTGAGAAGCCAGGCAGTGGCGGCGGGACCAGGGGGTCAGTTGACCCCCCTGAAATTTTAGGAAGGGTCAGGGGGGTCAAGGGTCAGGGGTTCATATAAAAAAATTAAAGATATAAAGCATTCCGTACTGTATACGTTTATTTTTTCGCCCCAAGAAGAAAAGTATAAGTAGGCCTAATAACAGTTACTGAAGATAAGTACAAAGATAAACAATTTAGTTATTAATAATAATCTATTACATTTATTATGAAGGGTCTTAATACTCACAAAACCTTATAAAAGTAATAATTAATTTAATTGATGTTCATGATCGTATTGGAATTTTGGAGAGTTAACTAACAGGTAACACTTGAATTTCGCACTGAGTATTCGTCATAGTCAAAGTCGGAACTTAAGTATGTACCGTATTTTTTGTGTAAACCATTATTTATCCCCAGTGGACACACTTACTTGGTTATACCCTACCGTCTTACTTTTGTGATTAACTATAATCAAGCAGCCAATTTTAATTTAACTTATTATTAATTCAGTTTTGAGGGGGAGGGGCAGAGCCTGCCGAAATTACGCGAACACATAAATCCCTAGGGCCTAGAGCTTGTTTACTCTTCTCTGTCGTCTGCAGCAACTCATTGCTGACAGCTTTAGTAAAATCTGGGCACCAGTACTTCATTTTATGTTTGTTTGAGATGTATGTGTATTATTTATTATAATGTTTTTACAATGAACAGAGTAGGTTAAATTGTAAATTTTCTTTGTTACCGGTACTGCTTGAAGAAAAATGTTCTTCAGGTAGCCTAAAAACACGTTTTAAGGCTTTTATTTTTCAAAATTTTCCCGGGGGAGGAACCCCCAGACCCCCCGGATGTGGTCCTCCACCATAGGTTTCTGACCCCCTAACAAAAATTTGCTTCCGCCGCCCCTGAAGCCAGGAAGACCAAGCTCAGCTCAAAGTCACTTATATCAGGAGTAAGGTTGGTTTCAGTGAGAACTAGAATGTCATAAACACTAACCAAGGCATGTGTAGAGAGAACAACCAACTTACTCCTCAACCCATTGTCAAAACATCGCAGTTGGATGGTGAAATCCTTGTCATTGTTTGTTACTAAAAGTACATTCACATACACGGACAGGACAAAGACATTACGAAAACTAATAAAAAGTTTTAATAGGCCTATTACAATAAATAAACGGGCTGGACGCATACCGCGGTGAAGGTCAGGATGCAGACTGGACTGAACTTAAAGGCACCCCACGCAAGGATTTCGCGAAAGCGAACGTTTTACCTGTGCAGGTAAAACGTTGTAGTCAAGTCGTTGCAAAGAAATGCGTCCACACAGTACAGGTTTCCGCACCAACTTATAGTGTAGTTTTGTGATAACTTTCAGTTTATGTGCATGTAATATGATGGAAGATGTGTTACTGTGGTCGATTTCTGCAGCCAGTGTTACAAGAAAGCAAAGAAATAAGTCTGAGCGACGACGGCGCTCACTATGGTCAAGACTTTGGTTACTAAAAAGACAACCAATTTCATAATAGTTTCTCTGTTCACGTTCAAATCTACTGCTTTGTATTTTTCAAAATTCTCTAAGTCTTTTTCTTATCATAGTCACTATGTTTCTCACTCTTGACCCTCCATAAATAAGGAAAACATCTGTACAGTTCGATGAATTCAACAATAAAATCAACAGAAAATTAATGAAAGTAACAATTATTTGACAACAGACAGAAACATAATAATATGTTAGTAAGTTAGTCATCTAAGAAACGTGATCAATAGTTCCATGATGTATTAATATTATGTTGTTATTAGATTCATGACCAATTCCTCTTGTACAACATTTAGCAATGAATACGGTTGTATTCATAGCCTATAGTTTATAACAGTATAAATAAAATAATTTGACACAATAGTACAAAAGGTGCTATTTAACTACCTATAATAAACTGCTAGTCTACAATGTTCAAAATAAATTAACTTACGTAAAATTGATAAACGTGTACAATTTTAATGCTTGAATAATTCATAAAAGTAAATGACAAAGCAATGCTTCTAAGAAAATCTGCATGTTTATGTATATATAAACTAGAAGTAAGTGGTTGATCGTACAGAACCAAACAGAAAAAGTAAATGAATAACAAAACTACTAATTTATGTAAACTCAAAATGTGCCATCTAAGACAATAAAAAAATTATATTTTTGTTTCGAATTACTGTACAAGAATAGGCGGATTTTTGTCTGCCGTGCATTTTAGGATTTTACAGGAGAAAATACTTGTATATTACAAGTACAGCATATCACAAGACGTAATTTTATAGTATATCCCTCGCACTCAACAGCGAAATTTGAAAAATCTCCTGATTATATGACTCGTAGGGTAATTAATAAATTCTTATTATTAGAAAAAGACACAGACTTTAACAATTGTTTTTTGAAGGTCAGGCAATACTTGTATGACAATGCATTTTATACTTTGAATGACTTTTTTAACAGTAGTGCTAAGTTAGTCTAAGCTTTGAGAGACATTGTACTTACTCATCATTAATTTATGACTATTCTCTATGTACATATTTGTATATTTATGGAGAAATAAAACTCTTTCTTTCTTTCATATTTTTTTCTCTAGTCCAGGAGCCAGGGGGGGCAAATGCCCCCCCCCCCCAAATGACGCCCCAGTAGACCGGCCTTAAAATGTTGTTGAAAATGTGGTCGTATTTAAAAGTTTTTTATTCAGAATTATGCTCTCATCATTTTTGTTCTCATTAACCTGTGCCTTATAAATTTCAAATTCTTCGATAGTGTTAATTCTGCTTCCCCTTTTGCAAACATGTAGAATTTCAAGGCCTTTACTAATATCGTTCATGTCATGGTTATTAACGACCAAATGCTGAGCAAACGATGATTTTTGTTTTGTATAACGAGGATCTGGTTTATGCTCCTTGTTTCTTAGTCGTGAAATCTCTATCTGTCTGTCCTGATTATTCGTTTTCTTCGACCGTGTATGTGTACTTACTTTTAGTAACAAACAATGACAAGGATTTCACCATGCAACTGTGATGTTTTGACAATGGCCGATACAAGCCGAAACAAGTAAATGACCATCTATAAAATTGAGCTGTATGTGATTTATAAGGTATGTGAACCTATTTATCATAAGGAAATCAAAACTTAGCCGTTCAAAGTTTTTTAATAAAAACTCTTTAAATTTAAGAATAACAAATCAAAGAAACAGTAAGTTTTCATACATCATTTTAAAGGTTATTAATTTAAGTTTTTAGTAATATTTTACACACTATATATAGTCCAGTTTATAGCAGAAAAACTTATGTAAAAGTTTTGAATTTTTCTCATAAGTGACAAATTCAAACTTCCATTGCAAAATAAGGGCTTATACAGATGGTTTATCTCAATAACTCTGTACTATTATTATTGAAAATTTAACAAGGCTTATGAAAATGACAATAAGATCGAAATAAAAACAATGTTTAGTGTTCTTATGGCCATTTTATGTAAGCAAATACAAATATTTAAAAAATCTTAGTTTGTCTGTTATTCCCTACCTGTGAAGGTATGGCAACTTAAATTGGTGCCATTTTGTCACCAATACCTAGTAGTTTAGCACATACAATTTGTTAACACTAACTTCGTTCCACTCTGTATATCCATAATCTACGCTCGATATACATTTCACCACAAGTGTGACATCTTTAGGAGCAAAGTTTATCACATCACTTAAAACACAAACACTATTTTTACTATTTACATTTATTTATTATTGGTCTGCGGACGATTTATGGCACAGTCGCAGGAATCCGAGCGCAAGCGCTGGTCGGAGGCACTACATGTATAACATATGACTGACTGGATATTGTCCCTTAATTGCTCGTCTGCGTCTGCCGACCGATAATGTAAATAAATACAAATAGTAAAATAGTGTTTGCATTTTAAGTGATTTGATAAACTTTCTGCCTGAAGATTCCACACTTGTGGAAAAATGTACATCAAGCATAGAAATATCTACAATAACCTGGAACCCATAAGGTAAACCAATTTAATTAATCATTAGTTCTTGAAACTGGGAATAACACACAAATGATAGTAAACCCTGTTTTTTTTTTTTTTTAAATTGTGACAGCAAAAACATTGCAACCATCAAGAGCACTGCACCAACAGATTTATAAGAATCGAAATAATGTGTGTGAAGTTTAGGAATGTAAATCGAAGCTTTTGATTTTTAATCACTCTGGTTGGCTCTCGAAGACAAGAAATTATCAAAATAGGTAGAGCAGTGATGGCAGTGACATAAGATAGGTATGCGCGGCTGCGGCTCGATGTCCAAAGTCCACTTTTATGCTCGTCGTTGTCGTCGGGTGGAATCTTTAAGGTCCATTTCCTATCCTGTGACTGTTACGACTCTAGCCGCGCGTCTACAGCCGTAAGGCTGGAGTCACTTGTCTCAATTCCTATGCCGCGACTCCCACAACTATAGTGACTAGTGAAATTGAAATTGCACTACTGACCGTCATGGAAAAAGCACAGTTGACAGCAAATATATTACTTGGAGAAAAGGAGGAAAATGAATTATTAACGTGCTTGGTAAACAACAATGAACAACCTAATCCATTGTTCATGGTACGGTGAAAATAGGGGTTTCAGAGGTTCAGAGGCTGCTCAAAACGCAGCAA